ACACTGATAACCAGCTGACCATACAGAAGAATTGTCAGCCATGGGGCTTTGATCTAGTGTGGCCAACAGCCTGGAGCAAGCATGTTCTGACCATTTAATAGAGGCTTAATGAGATGTTATCTACCTCCACGCCTTGAAAAGATTCTGCTGCCCATTTCCACACATTAAACCTCTATTGAGGAGACAAGACATTCTTCTCCAGACCTGTTGGCAACCACACTTTGGTATTCCTAAAACTTGTAGTTTGTTTGTCCTGTGCATGTTATATGCTATAGGATAGTCTTTACAAGTGGCAGACTGCATAAATCTTTCGCCTTTTACTAAAAATCCACTTTATTGAAGGCCACCTGTAGAGACCATTCATGGTTAATTTAAATTATATGTACTAAGGGCTTATTTTAACTTCCTACCAAGTACACCTGCAAACAAATAATCAGGAAGTACTGACAAAATACAGCACTTCAACACGCACAGAACACAGCAAACTTCTCCACAATTCTCAGGTATTTATTTCAAGTCTATCTCATTTCCCATACCAGAGCCTGACTCAGGAAAAGCACGTAGACCATGGAGGAAGGTCTGGGGATACAAGAAGTATTTAGAACTTTCACTCCTTCACCCCTTTTTGCTCTACAAATTGGATCCTTTCACCTCTTGTTTTATATATGACTGGGGAGTGCTTGACTTAAACTAATGAGTCTGCCACAGTACCTGCCATTCTCTCCCTTATGTACCCTCTGAAGAGCACAGGGGCGTTGAGGTATGGATTCCCAGCAGCCTCCAACTGAGACACCTTACTAGCTAGAACTGTTCAGCTTCAGTAGCATAATTTTATCAGACACGTTAAGGCCATTCTCTGAATTATGTTCTTTGTGGTCCACAAAATATAGTTTGGCCTGTTACATGGTAGCCCCACTGGCCTCGTAGGTGGATTTCTTATTACTAGGGTTTTAGATATGACCTTCAGGTTCCAGACTTGTCCAACCACTGGACAAGAAGACAGAGCCAAGGCTTTTACTGACTTACAAGCTCTCAGTTCCTTCTCACCCTTCTCCAGGCAAAAGTTCTGCTTCCTCAGCTTGTGAAGACATGCATTTTGTTCTGGGAGGTTTGAAAGGAGAAAAACCTCCACTGTGAGTTTTTAAGGTTTTTTCCTCTGGGCAGAGAACAGGCCGGAGGGGGGTAAGTCAGTCCAAGTACTTCGCAGAGCTACATCAGCTCACCTTCATACAAATGCTAGTGGATCTAGCTGGAGAGATAATGGGTGGGTCAAGGTCTGCCCCTTCATCCTAGCAGGGAACAAAGATTTTGCGGAATGAAATGCTAGAGAGACTCCAGGAAGGAAATGTCCTAGAAATCTCCAGGAAAAGCCTCTTTGACATGGCATAACTTGGTCAGTGGGTAGAGAAACAGACAGGATAAAAACTCCTGGCAGCAGGAAGAAGTTTTCCCCCCCTTGGGTGCTGCGTCCATGAGGGCACACAGACCGCTCCACTGGGGAGGCAGCCATTTTTACCATGTGCTAGCCTGAAGAGCTGGGAGAAAGCCTCAAGGTAATGGAACGCCGTAGAGATTTGTAACACCTAAGCTAAAGGGCCTGTCCTATATCTTAACAACTGATTGGGCATATATATAGAGAGGGAGAATTTGCATTTAACCAATTTCTTTTGGGTCCCTTTCTCATTCTGGTGCTGTGCTAAAAGTATGCTTGTGAACATTTTTTAAAATAAATACTTTATAACTTTTTTGTAGTTTTATATGTGTGTGTGCGCACTGGCAAGTGTACCTGAAAGTCATGGCAACCTCTGGTGACTGACTCCTACTGGGGGGTCTGGAGAATATTCAGAGAGGTGACTGAGTAAAGCCTGCTCCTGCCTCCAGTATTCCAAGGCCTCCTATCCAAGTACATGCCAGAGTCAACCCTGCTTAGCTTCCAATATCTGACAAGATCAGGCTTGCCTGGGCTATCCAGGTCAGGGCAATACTTTACAACTTAAGCTGCTGGCAGTGGTTCTTTGTACCACATAGACCTCCACAGCCTTGGATGCGCTATTTTAAAAGGAGTGCCAGGGGGAAGGCAGGCAGTTGACTATTCCTCCAAGGGCACACAAGGCAGTAAACTGTCCCCCTGGCAGTGCCAGATTTACGCATAAGCTAAATAAGCTACAGCTTAGGGCCTCGCAATCTGCTGGGGCCTCAAATAAAAACACAATATAAAAATTGATTTCAAATATTAAAAAGGCGTATCTATTTTAAATTTTTCTGAGACCAGCTGATGTAATTTAAAACAGTAGGGGGCCTTTGGGTTTTGTATAGCTTAGGGCCTCAGCAAGTCTAAATCCGGCCCTGCCCCCTGGTCACCAGGTGCTGGGCAGCGGGAGACACAGAGGCAAGGCCTCAGATCTTGGAAGGGAAGCTGGGAGTCCTGACCCTCCCAGCAGGCATTTTCTTACAAAGGTGACAGGTCAGGTGGTGGCGGCGAGTTACTGGAGAGACAGAGGGAGAGAAAAGCCTCTCCAGGTGTTGGGGAAACCTTGGCAGGCAGGGTGGAATAGGGCCACAGCAGGCCCGTTCCACCACACAGCTGGTAGAAAATGGGCAGAGGGACCAGGAAAGCAGGGGGGGGGGGCAGCTACAGTTGTGTCCTGCTGCGGTTCTGTCAAAAAGACAATCTCACTGTAGGGGCTCTATAGCAAGCACACAGCAAAGCTGCAAATTTACAAGCAACCCTATGACCTTGAGGAGCTGCAGAACTGCATATACAGCTAAATCTGGAACATGCTATGAACCCTGCCCTCTTTGCACCTGCTTGACCTACTCCCAGCACTAGCAGGGTCACACCAATCTGGTTTCAGGGAAGATAAAAGATATATTGGAAACATGCAGAGACTAAAAACACAACAAGCCTAGCTGTCAGTGGCAAAGGTAGACAGTTTAGTTAGAATTACAGTTTTAAAGTCTACGGTGAGGATGCATGGTCAACAAGGGTTTTTTGTACCTTAGTTCCTGCAAGGTCTCTGGTCCTTACATCAGATATCCTACACCCAGCACTGTAGTTCCTGTACTGTGTTATTCACAGCCACCATTTTATGGGTTAAGATCAGAACACACACACCCCATGGGTTTTTAGCATATGATCTACAACTATCAGGAAGGAAGGAAGGAAGGAAGGAAGGAAGGAAGGAAGGAAGGAAGGAAGGAAGGAAGGAAGGAAGGACAGGTAGCATACTGTGATTAAAAAGATGTAGTGTGAAGACAGTGGGGAAAGTAACAAGCTAGGGCTGGGGAACAAGATAGAACCAGGAACTGATTGCCTGAATAATGAGCAGAAACACACACAAAGAGAGGAAAGAGGGAAATTAAGTGGCAAGGACAGGAACTGGTTTGAGCAAAGGTGTTGGCACTTGCTAACATTTCCCCAGCATCAAGGCAATCAAACTGTATCAGATCGACTGGAACCATCCTAAGCATCACCAGCTGGCCATACTCAAGATCTACAGGCAACTTTCAAGCTTCTTTCAGCCACATACAGTAAAGATGTGATAATCCCTTGTGCACCCTTTCTGGAAGGGCAGAAAAGCTGGGCCACCTTGCATTGTTACCCCTTAGCCAATGCCAAAGCTCACACCTCACAGGCAAAATTAAACTGTACTCTGTAATCATTAACCATACATTACTACCACTCCTGGGATTTGTGTACTCATACAGTTAGTAGGACGTAAAAGCCATCACTTCTCTCAAAACCATGCATTTAAGAGGATAATAAAATCCACTCTGATTGAGAGTACTGCAAGGGTACCTGCCCCGGGGAGGGTTGCCAGGTCCCCTCTGGCCACCAATGGGGGATGAGGGGGAAGAGTTGCCAGACCCAGGCTGGGAAACTCCTTTTCTCCAGGGGAACTGATTGCTGTAGTTTGGAGATGAGGTGCCATTTCAGGGGATCCCCAGGTCTCTGTAGGCTGGCATCCCTAGCTCCGACCCGAGTAACTCAGACTAGCCTAATCTTGTCAGATCTTGGAAGCCAAGCAAGGTCTGCCCTGGTCAATATTTGGACGAAAGACCACCCTAAAGGGTCACCATAAATCAGCCGTGACTTGACCACACACACAAAAAAGGAATAACTAAGGGATGTATCACTGGTGACCAAGATCACCATAGTATTCCCCTTACTATGTATGGTGTGAAAGTTGGACAATGAAAAAAGCTGACAGGAAGGTTGATTCGTTTTAAATGTGTTGTTGGAGGGGAGTTTTATGGATATGTGGACTGCCAAAAAACCAAACAAATAAATGGGTTCTTGATCAAATCAAGCCCGAACTCTCCCCAGAAGCTAAAATGACTGAACTGAAGCTACCAGATTTTACTCACATTGTGAGATGACACAAACTGACTGGAAAAGACAATAATACTACGAAAAGAGGAAGGCCCAACATGCGATGGATTGATTCCACGAAGGAAGCCAGGGCCCTCAGTTTGCAAGACCTGAGCAAGGCTGTTAACGATAGGGCATTTTGGAGGTCATTAATTCCTAGGGTCGCGCCATAAGGCGGAAGGGGCCTGATCGCCCTTAATACACACAGATATCCCTCCCTTACACTATCCTGAGTATCTCTGCCATCTGGCACAGGCACCAAAGCACATGCAAAGGCAGCCCACTAAGGCCTGACTACAGCAGACTTTTGAGGAAAACAACAAGTGCCGGGACTGAGTCTACTTTCAAGGCGCATAATTCCGCTTGGACACGCCCCCCTGAAAGCAGTGACTTTGCGCCACTATGACTTGTCCTTGCGCGAGGAAAAGCGCCCCCTCCCCCATCAAGCCCCTAGGAGAAGGGGGGGCGGCGTCGATTTTTACTCTCCCAAGCGGAGAAGTCTCCGCGTCTTCCCCGCTCGCCTGTTTACAACAACCTGTAAACTCAACGGGCAGAGAGCTCAAACCAAAATAAGGAGACAGAAACCAGGACACAATCGGGACCGCTGATAACGATCGCGCTTGCTTACATGTTGCTGAGTGGGGGCTGAATGAAGGACTTGAATGCATGGTTGCCGCCGGCTCCAGCTCTTTCTCCGTCTCTCCCGCTACCGCCACACCGGCCGGTTCGCAATTGCTAGTCCCAGCGACTGGGCTTCTCTGGCCGGGGATTTGTTCCTGCTGAGCGCTCGCCAGGTCCTAGTGCTCCCAGCAGGCCGGCGCTGCCAGCAAGGCTCGCCTTGGTTCCCTGTGGCGCACCTGCTTGCTAAACAGGCTTAACGATTAGAGCCGGGATTGAGCCGTGGGCAGGAGAATTCACCAGACAGACGTCCCTCTGAGCATAGGTGCATGGCCCTTTCTCCCCTTCCCGTGTATGTTGGTTCCTAGTTTGCCCTTCTATGTATTTGGCAGCAATGCAACAACTTTCTTCAATCCTTGCATTTGCAGATGTCGGTTGTTGGCATTTGCCTTCTCTTCAGCAAAAGCCTGGAACAAAGAGGAAAAGCCTTCCAGATGGGACATCATTGCTTCCACAAGGTTTGAGCGCCTCTTAGAAATTAATGCCAAAAAAGCATTCAAACCCAGTCTGTATCTAGTAAGATTAATGGAGCTGTGGTCAGCCAGCAGTTCGAGACCGCATGATAGAGTGAGCTCCCATCTCTAGTTCCAGCTCCTGCCAACCTAGCAGTTTGAAAGCAAGAAATTGCAAGTAGGTAAATAGGTATCACTTCAGTGGGAAGGTAACAGCGTTCTGTGCACCTTGGTGTTTAGTCATGCCGGCCACATGACCAAGGAAACGTCTTCGGACATTAGCTTTGAAACACCGCAACCCTAGAGTCGGACTCGACTGGCTTTTGAGCAAGGGAACCTTTACCTTTACCTATCTTACAAAGCAAGCAAGCACTTACCATAACTGGAGCTAGTGATATCCCGGTCTTCGAGTCACATCGAGTCAGACAGTTTCCCTCTAAACTGAGCAAGTGACAGGAAGTAGCCTAGCAGTTAGATAAAATTGAATGATCCAGAGAAATGTATAGAAGATGACCAAGATCTCAGCTTCGCCAGGCTCTGAGGCAGCCGTGTACTTTGTCTGAGCCTGTCAGCTCAAGAAATCTTGGAAGGAAAATGTTTTTAAAATCCTAGTGAAAATGCTTTCTCCTGCTCTTGCACTTCCTGTTTGGGTGAAGACGAACAGTGTCATCAAGCATATTGTTCTCACTCAGAGTCTTGGGAAATGGGTTACTCCAGTACAGAATTCTGCTTAACTAAGCAACCAGTCCAGATTCAGAGGGGCCTGAAGTAAAACTTCTAAGAAATCCACCAGCACCGTACAGAAGGAAACAGAAAGAGCAGTGCCAGCCCCCAAAGCAACATCTCCTGAAAGCCCCTTTCCTTAATCCCTGGGGGTGTGTGAGGACAGGCTGTGGGTTGTGGAATGGGGAGGAAAAGGCAATGTGTGTGTAGTCTAAAGCACTAGAATAATGTGCCATGCAGCCAGGACTTGGCTTCTTCCATCTGCAGCCCTACACCTGCACACTGAAGATCTTATTTTACTTCTTACCATCAATCCTTTGGCCCATCCAGCCTTACAAACACTGCAGCCGAGCTGCCTTCAGGCAAAATAAAGCTATCTCCATCTGCAGGCTGCAACAGGCTGAACAGCCTTCTTTGGGTATTTAATACGCAGAAGAATGAAAATCCCCTGAGCGCTAAAAGGCTGAGCTGCTTCCAGCTCTCCAGGAAACCAGTGCCAATTTCAGCACAAACTTAAGCATCAATTGCCCCTCTGCAGTCTCTGCTCTTGCCAGACTGAGCAAAGAAGTTATCACTGCCAGCATTAGTAGATCTGGCAGGTATGACCCAGCACTTGCTGATCAAAGGCTTCCCCACCATATTTAGTCTCTCTCATGCACTGCTCTACTCCCTCCTCCTAAAATAAACCTGAGGATTTAGAGTCTATTTTTTCTCCCCTGCCAGCACCCTTGGGAGGACTTGCTATTTACATTCCTTTCATATATTAGGTAAGATAAAAATGCACTGTTAATGATAAAACTAGGAGATAGGAACCCTCAGGCTGGGGCAAGTGATGCTCTGTATTCTTGGTGCTTGGGGGGGGACAACAGTGGGAGGGCTTCTAGTGTCCTGGCCCCACTGCTGGACCTCCTGATGGCACCTGGTATTTTTGGCCACTGTGTGACAGTGTTGGATTGGATGGGCCATTGGCCTGATCCAACATTGGCTTCTCTTATGTTCTTAACTAATGACAGGATTTATATAGCACTTTGAACACACTAAAGTTGGTCAGATATATTGTCTTGTTCCAATAGCCCTGTATAGAAGGCTAGTAGTATTATCCATGTACTGTGGAGGGCACCTACTGTGTTGAGTGCAGAGGTAAAATTCAAAGCAGTGACTTTCCAATTCAGAGCTCAGTTGCTTAGCAACTATCCTGTATCTGTTGTAGAATACACATGGAGTACACCAGTGTAGTATACAGAGGTATCTATTTTCACCACAAATACAGGAATGTTTGAGCATGCAACAAACGACATGCAAGATTTGTACTGCTTTCTACAGGAAAGGTACAGTCCTCTCACCTTGGTGGCAGAGAGGTGGCATACAAATTTTGTAAATAAATACTAATAAATAATACTGGAAATTTGTCCTGTGTGAAACAGCCCACTAGAGTGACAGTGCTGGTTTGTGGCAGACCCAACAAGAAGAAATGAGAAACACCAGCCTGTAGCAGGTTCCTACTTGGGGTTAACCTGCTCTCAGAGCCAAACTAGATACTGTGGTGGCCCCCTACACCATTTGAGAGAGAAATTTGGCCATTTAAAAAGTGCTGTAACAGGCAGCAGGATCAGGCAATATTGCTTTTCAACCACATGCCTTTTCAAGTGCTGAAGAGTCTTTTCGGGTATTTGAAAAAGTATGCAGGGGAAAGCAAGATTGCCTGATCTCACTGTGCTGCAGGTGATCACAAGGGAAAGACAGATGGCAGAGAGAGTATAATGCAGTGGGGAAATCTTTCCTCTGTTCTCCTTTGAGGGGTGACTGGGAGCAGAACCTCATGTTATTATGAGGTTAATATCAGGTTCTTAAAAGCCTCAGACATCACTGAGAGTTCAGGGAGAAGGTTGGCAGACTAGAAAGGGTTGCCCTGTCTGCTACCTCTCCCCTGCAAATGTCCCCAGGCTACACTCCAGTCCTGGAAGTAAATGGAGAAGGCAGGGGGGTTAGGACTTGCAAGCAACATTTGCAGAGAATTATTACTGGGCACATGAAGAGTTAAATGCCTGCCATTTCCCTCTACCATCCTTACATTGTTTTAACAAATAGGGTTTCAAGAAGAGGCTCTGCTAAGGTTAAGCAGAGTGTGGCCCTCAGATACCAGCAGATGTTATGTTCTGAGCTCTCTCCTTGCAGCCTGCTGCATATATCTTCCGTATAAAGCACTCTTCTCGGGATTTCTGTTCTTTAAACCAGATTGTGGAAGTGTTCCTTGGACTGATACAGGAAGAGAGTCGCTGTCTTTCATTTTGTAACTCAATTCACTCTAACGCACTTTGAATGAAACCGCACAGACAGCCAATCGGTATTTTAATGTGGTGTTAATGTTTCTGCAAGAGATGTATCTGACAACTAAACAAGCCATACTGGCTCCTGCACCTGGCATTACGGTGCAGAAGGAAAGAAAAGCAGAACAAACGTGAGGTTCATTTAACCAGAGTGTGAATGCTCCATTTGTATTTCTGTACAGACGCTTTGTCGACCTTCAGCTCTCTTTGGGCCAGATATGTGCTATCCCTACATTTGTATGGTGCTGATCTCTCCAAGACACAATTACTCAGGGCCCATGGGGAGATCCTGAGCCTCAGCTGTCTTACCAACTGACGAAGAAAGATTTTGTTTGTATGGCAGCCCAATCTGCAAAAATCAGGAAATGGCACGTGGAATAAGGATAAGCATTATCATTTGCCAAATGCTGACAATGCTGTAACAGGCACAGAAGCAACAGCAAGTTTAAAAACTTGGCAACTCTTAGAGATCAATGGACCGAAAGAAACTGTTTGTTGATCCTATTCACAAATCATGCAAACATCTGTGAGGAATGAGTGAAACAACATGACTCCCCACCCCCACCACCGGAATAAAAATACAGTGTTAATACATATGTGCCTGGGAATGTATTACCCGAAGCCGTCCATTAGCTTGTGTGTACCACAAAGAGGGGGCTCTGACATACTTGGAGAAAGGCCCCAGGGGGGTTCTATTATACCACCCTTCTGCAAAATGACTCAGGTGCTTTTCTGTACGCCTCTGACACCATTGGTTAATGTTCCCTACCTCAGTACAGTGTTCCCTCAAGCTCCACTACTATCAGGGAGTAGGTGAAGTACATGCCTGAGGCCTAATGGATTGTTTCACAGACCAGAGCCTCTCTCCCCTTAGATCACTCTTCCTGCACCCTCAGGAAAGAGCAATTCCTAGAGTGTCCACTGGTTGCAATCAGGCGTAGTGCTTGTGTAGAGTCACATATGCCATTTCCGGGCTAAAAGGAATGAGCCAGAATGTCAGTCTTTCTTTCCAAAGAACTTCCTGAAGACAGATTTGTTCTTCTGGCGAGGTGAGGCGCCCTGGCTTCTCTCACTTAGAGTCTCTCGGACGCCACCAGGAGTGGCCATGAAGGAATGGCAGCGAGGCCGGAGGATAGCAGGTGCCTGCTCTCCAATGTACAATGTGACTGAGTAGCTGCTGCCAACCCCCAAGGGCTCTTTAGATACCGACAATGGGCTTATCTTCTGGTAGGTAGCTGAAAAAGAGAGAGAGAGTGCATGTTCGGCAGAAGGTAGCAGCAGCAATGCATTAGCAGAACAGACAATGGGCAGCAGGATTTCTCTCTAATAAGAGAGAGATTTCAGTTTAGCCCTCGGCGGTTGGTATTTTTGGTAGACTGGTTCTGATTCCAGGAGACCTATTCCTGCTCCAAATAAAGGCAGAGAAAGGGGATTCAACCAAGCCATCATCTGAGCTGAGGTTTACCTGGCCTCTGCTCCAGAACCAAAGCTCATCCTTGGAACTTGTAAAGGAATAAGGAAAATAAATTGCACACCTAGTTCTTTTTATTGGTGTATAGGATCAAATACACACCTTGACTGAGGAAGATACACAGAAGCAACCTTCAACTTCAGCGATGTGCATTTGAGGTTAAAAGTGTGCTGCTGACATCTAGTGGTGACTTGATGCAATAGACTTGTGACTGAGGAGAACCTTGAAAACAGCCTTCCCCCTCCCAGCAGGGAAAATAGCACAATGACATCATGCTTGTCTCAAAGAATGATAAGACTACATTTAGTCACACACAATTCAGTGGCACCTGATCAGAGGGACATGAATTTTACAACTGAAATGGAACAACATTAAGGGGTCAAGAAACTCAGAGTGATGTGATGTGCAGACCTTCTGCTCCCCTATCTAACAACTCCTTCACAGAGATCCAGGGTATACCTGAGGTGAAGGAATATGATCTCCTCTTGCTTGTCACAAGCCCACAGTCATCTTCCTGACACATAAAGGGATCGTGTGCCCTTGGAGACTCAGTAAGGGAGCACAGCTTTGGGCTTTGCTCTGCTGTATAAATGGCCGCAGATCTCTGATTGTTTCCTAAAAGGAGAGAAAAATTAAAAAATGTGTTACACAGGCTGAGCTTTAGGACTCCTTCCTTTAAAAAAAACAGGTTGTTGAATCACAAATTATGCATGTGTTTCACAGGTCCTGCTTCTGTGTAAAATATTCTATACTATGGCACAGTGTAATGTGCTACAAAGGAAGATCCCAACCCCATGATGCTATATCATTCCCAACAAATCTTTTTGTAGTATTGCTGTCTACTGGTTTAGACAGTGAGCTATTAGTGGACATTTTAAAACACTCCAACTTGATTTTAGCATTTAATGAAAGAAGTTCACGAAATTCACACACACACACACACACACACACACAGAATATTTCAGAATTGTTCACATTTGTATTTGGAGCAAATATGGCTTCTTGACTGGGGGCGCTTTCTAACGAAAACGTTACTTTGCCCCCCATTTTCCTCCATTGCTACCTCATCTTCCTCAGACCAAGATGGTAAAAGAGATTTCAGACAGCATTTAAAAAGAGGAGGGGAAGGGGGGGTGAGTCACCCCTTAAAGGAATGCACTGCAAAAGTCCCAGGTTAGCTTACTGAGGCAAAACAGGTCCTTCATACAGCTAATTTGTTGCCTGCAGGAGACGAAATCTGCGACGACAGCTCAGGTTTGCAGAGACAATGCAATATAAAGGAATAGTCTGGCTAGTTGGGCAACAGATACAGTTGGGCATCAAAGAGAAACATCACATCAAAGGTAGTTTGGGAAACCAAAGGAAAGAAGCAGAACACACAGAAGGAAAATGGATTAGACATTAGACAACCTGTACAAGAAAGGTACAAAAAAACCCACTGTACGTCAGCAGCCAGATTAAGGCAAAAAGTCTGTTTGAAACTGCCCTTTAGTTCAATCAAGCTGTTTTTCCCCTTGGGTTATGGAGACAGTCCATATCTACATTACAAGGACAATCTAGATGCCCATACCCCTCATATGAAGGCATGACCAACATCCTAATAAGCAAAGTAAAGTAAAGGACCCTTTTGTAAGTAGTAAGGATTCACTGCACATGCTGCTTCCCCAAGAGCCTTGAAGGCCAGATAATGGAGATGCAGAAGGATGAGGGCCTGGCGTGGGCTCAGGCTCACTAGCTCCCATGTCCCCTCTGCAATAACATCTTCACCGACGAAGTCCTCACAGGGCACTTCACTCACTTAGATGCAAGAAGTACATTACCATGGCAGGCCACAACTGTGATGCTGAAGGGGTGGTAGCCAATGTTCCCTCTAACCTCGACAGTGTTGTGAGCAGAAATTCTAACTTGTGAGCGTAAGAAGCTAGTAATGTTAAAGTTGTGAGTCTACATTTAACTATTGTGTAAATAAGTTTTTTAGAAGATTGCTTTCTTCAAATACTTTAGAAGCAGGAAACCAGCCAGGGAGGCAGTGGGGCCCTTAGATGACCAAGGGGTAAAAGGAGTACTGAAGGATGATAGGGAAATGGCTGAGAAGCTAAATGCATTTTTGGCCTCTGTCTTCACTGTGGAAGATGAGAAGTGCTTGCCCACTGCAGAACCACTGATTTTGGGAGGGGTGTTGAAAGACCTGAGTCAGATTGAGAGAGGAGGTGAGAAGAGAAGAGGTCCTACACCAGGCCCGGATGGCATACATCCGAGAGTTCTGAAAGAACTCAAATGTGAACTTGTGGATCTCTTGACAAAAATATGTAATCTTTCATTAAAATCTGCCTCCATTCCTGAGGACTGGAAGGAAGCTAATGTCACCCCCATCTTAAAACAGGGTTCCAGAAGAGATCCGGGAAATTACAGGCCAGTCAGTCTGACATCAATACCAGGTAAGTTGGTGGAAACTGTTATTAAGGATAGAATTAGTAGGCACATTGATGAACAAAAGCTACTGAGGAAGACTCAGCATGGGTTCTGTAAGGGAAGATCTTGTCTCACTAACCTGTTAGTGTTTTTGTCTTTGAGGTAGTGAACAAACGTGGACAAGGGGGACCCAATAGATGATGTTTACCTTGACTTCCAGAAAGCTTTTGATAAAGTTCCTCATCAAAGGCTCCCAAGTAAGCTCAATAGTCATGCGATAAAAGGACAAGTCCTCTTGTGGATCAAGAACTTGCTAATTAATAGGAAACAGTGAGTATAAATGGGCAATTTTCTCAGTGGAGGGTGGTAAGCAGTGGGGTACCACAGGGATCGGTACTGGGTCTGATGCTTTTTAACTTGTTCATTAATGATTTGGAGTTGTGAGTAAGCAGTTAAGTGGCTAAATTTGCGGATGACACAAAGTTGTTCAGGGTGGTAAGAACCAGGGAGGATTGTGAGGCACTCCAAAGGGATCTGTCGAGGATGGGCGAGTGGGCGTCAACGTGGCAAATGGGGTTCAATGTGGCCAAGTGCAAAGTGATGCACATTGGAGCCAAAAATCCTAAATATAAATATACATTGATGGAGTCCACACTGGCAGAGACTGACCAAGAGAGAGATCTTGGAGTGGTGGTAGATAACTCAATGTCTACAGTGTGCAACGGCACTAAAAAAGGCCAACACTATGCTGGAGATTATGAGGAAGGGAACTGAAAACAAATCAGCTAGTATCATAATGCCCCTGTATAAATCAATGGTGCAACCTCATTTGGAGTACTGTGTACAGTTCTGGTCACCACACCTCAGAAAAGATATTATAGCATTAGAAAAAGTGCAGAAAAAGGCAACTAGAATGATAAAAGGGTTGAAATACGTTCCCTATGAAGAAAGGTTAAAGCGCTTCAGGCTCTTTAGTTTGGAGAAACGACTGAGTGGTGACATGATAGAGGTTTACAAGATTATGCATGGGATAGAGCAGGTAGAAAAGAAGTACTTTTCTCCCTTTCTCACAATACAAGAACTCGTGGGCACTCCATGAAATTGCTGTCGCGTTAGAACGGATAAAAGGAAGTACTTCTTCACCCTAAGAGTGATTAACACATGGAATTCACTGCCATAGGAGGTGGCGGCGGCTATAAGCATGGATGGCTTCAAGAGGAAATTGGATAAGCATATGGAGTAGAGGTCCATCGGTGGCTATTAGCCACAAGGTATAGATAGGAGCTCTCAGTCTGGGGCAAGTGATGCTCTGTATTCTTAGTGCTTGGGGGGGGGCAACAGTGGGAGGGCTTCTAGTGTCCTGGCCCCACTACTGGACCTCCTGATGGCAACTGGTATTTTTAGCCACTGTGTGACAGAGTGTTGGACTGGATGGGCCATTGGCCTGATCCAACATTGGCTTGTCTTATATTCTTGTGTTCTTACTTCCATAACCTTGTAAAAATCTCAGAATAAATTCTTTTAAATTATATTTAAACTATATTTTAAAGAATAATTTAAACATTATAGGAGAAAACAGAATCAAGTCAATGTTCACCCACCCCTTTCCACTATATTGGTAGAGCTAGCCTTCGGAGGTCTCTTCACACATTTCCATTATATGGGTAGACCTGGCCTCCAGAGAACAACTATTCACCTCTTTCCAGTATATTGGTAGTGGAAGAGGTCTACCTGCCCCAGTCCACTATATTGGTAACCTGGCCTTGGACCGTCGCCCTGTGCTGAGCCTTAGAAAACATACCAGCACTTCGGGGGGATAGGGGACTCTTGCAGTCTACTTTGGTGTTTTTTGGGGTTTTTTAGTGAAATATGACAACCAGCATTACAGGTCAAATATAACAGAGGAGGAACAATCACTGTCAGAACCCTGCCTAACCTAACAAACAGGAAGTTGCTTAAATGTTATCAATCTGCCCAAACTACTTATTTATTCAAATATTTATATCCCACTTTTCCCTGTGACTCAAGGCAGCTTACAAATCATACTGAAAAGCATAATAGGGGTGTGCAAAAAAGAAACAACCAATTTTTTCTGGCTCCATTAAACCTATGGGGGCCATTACAGTCAATGGGCCCTATAAGCTATAAAAGGAGAATCAATCCAAGGGTATCTGGGGCTCTGAGGGGCTGTTTTATTGAGGCAGAGGCACCAAATTTGCAGCATAGCTGCTGGTGCCTTTCCTCAAACCCCCCCCCCCAAAGTTTCAAAAAGATTGGACCAGGGAGTCCAACTCTATGAGCCCCAGAAGGAGGTGCCCCCATCCTCCATTATTTCCAATGGAGGGGAAAATGCCTTCTCAGTTCACTTGTTGGCTGCACTGCCAGCTAAATTCCCTGTGCTGCCAGCTAAAATGTTGTGTGCCAGCACTCCCTAGCACAGCTTAGAGGGAACTACCAGTGCCACTGGTAGCTGTGGGTAAAGAGTGATTCCGGAAGTGACTCTAAACTCTGCACACTCACCTGCTGGTGCTGCTGCTGAATCCAGTGGGTCATTCCGAGTATCATAAGGCAGCTGCAGCTTGACACTTGACCTGGGTTCCTCTTGGCTCTTTGTTGTAAGGGGCTGATGAAGGCCCAGACAGTGGGAGGATCCAAGGCCAGGAATCACACTGGAAAGAATTGAAACAGCAAAAACACAGAGCTGGGTTCAAATCTACACTTCCACAGGATTGTGCTGCCAGTTAACATAAGGTTTAATCCTGGACAGTCTCTCCCACAAAGGTAAGGCATGCGAATTTGTATAGAGCACAGGACTGGTGCTTTAAATGCAGGGATCCGATTTGCTTGAGGCCTATGTGTATCTGAACAATTCCAGTAGATTGGGATGTCGGCATAAGGAAGAAGAGGGACTTGTTGTCACCAGTAAAACAGAAGAAAGGAAAACTGGAAGGAAAAACACAGTCCACTCAAATAGAAGCTCAAAGTGTTTTAGATTTACTAAGCTAGGCCTTTTTCAAGACAGAGAAACTGAAATATACACTGCAACATTGAAAAACAATTTCTCTCTCTTTGTTTTGAACACAAAGATTTAAGAATAAAGTTTCTGCCTGCCATGTTGGAATCTGAAAATTTACAAAAAGGGTCTGCTTGAGTAAAAACCTGCTTGCCAGTGAACAAGAGTCCTCAGCAGTACAAGTCAATCTCAGGAAGCTCAACAAACTCCATCCACACCCTCAGTAACTCCAGCCTAGCATTGCTGGAGACACTTACCTAACAGCAGAGGTTGTCCTTTGGGCGGCTTGGGATGCTGACTGGAAATAATCCACTTCAGGTAAACCTTTGAACACAGAAAAGTATGTGATGGAAAGTAGCCCTTGGGTGATGGGTTTGTTTTTTAAAAAATCATTCATTTGCAACAGTGTTTGCGTATCGAACCCATTTTAATGACTTATTTGGACCATCCTCTCAAACACATAACATAGGACCATTTCACAGTAACATACCTAGATATGCAGATATGCTCAACAGTGTTATGGGCTCTTTGATTAACATTCCTGTATAATGCATATACTTCCAAACACCTTTTACTTTCAGTGACAATGAACTGAGGACAGGTGACAGTCACATTCATATGAGACCTTGCAGTCAGTCTCTTGCTGATCTGCAATGTGAGCCCCAGCCTCCCATGTGCAAGTACCCCTGACTCCAGGTTTGTCTCAGTCACAATGAGACAAACAGCTGATGCTGGCCCTTCAGATACCTCTTGTTCCTGACTGACAGCCATTCCTTCCTCCCATTGGTCTACCAGTGCTCCCCACTTCTTCCTGAACAGTATATAGTCTTACCTGAATTTTGCTGCAGTTTGGTAACCCACTCTTTCATGAGTTGTTCAGTCAGAGCTCTAAGGAGATACTTGGAACCATCCTTCAACCTGGGAATGTGAAGAGGGTGGCAACAAACAGTATTTCAATGAGGAACTGATACAAAGTCCAGCACCAACCACATTCTCCAGCAGTCTGGGAAATTAAAAGGGGGAGGGGCTGTGGCTTAATAGTAGAGCATTTTCTTGGTATACAACAGGTCCCAGGGTTCAGTCAATGGGATCCCCAGTTTAAAAAGAGGATCAGTAGTAGGTGATGTGAAAGACTTCAGCCTAAGACCCTGGAGAGCCGCTGACAGTCTTAGACAATACTGACCTTGATGGACCAACAGTCTAATCTCTCTATATAATAATTCTGTTTTCGAGTGGCAACATTCCATGCACTCCCTGAGCCATTGGCCCATCAGCCGCCACTCAAGAGTACTCGCATGCCATTGGCCAGGTACTGGGTCTGCTCCTCTTCCCCGCCCACTCCCCCTTCAGCCACTGTGCCCTGTCAGAATTACTCATAAACGGCTTTCTCTCTTGACGAAGACGCTTTTCCTGCTTGCCTCTAGTGTGGGGCTAACTGTCCCCTCAGTGGCTGTTGGTAGGTGTCACGAAATGGCAGTTACCTGTGTTTGTAAGATGGCTGTGGTTCTTTGTTTAAAATGTTCCCCCATAAGGTTTAATTGAGCTGTAGTTTCAGAGAGGGGCTTGCAGGGGGATTACTCACTGGGTTGAATGAGGCTTCCTCATCTGCTGGCCTACAGTTCCCAGCTGCCCCAAGGTCAAAAAGTGTGGGAAAACAGGGACTGTCCCAAGGCAGTCTTCATCCCTGGGAGGCAGTAGAAATTCAGCCACTCCACAGTCAGCTGGACTGGGGAATGAATGGAAGTTTCCCTCTAGCAAATCTGATCCCTCCCTTGGGCAAGAGAGAGAGGCTGAAGTACAGCCAGAGGCCGGTCCAAGGGGAGATCCTATCCTGAGCCCACAACCTCCAGAGGTAGAGAGTATTGTGCGTAGGGAAAGAGGATTGTGTTTAACCCCTGCTGATTTATGCCCTGTTGGTTCATAGTGTGTGCTTACTCCTACAGTGTGTGTGTGCTCCATAACTGTGTAAATAGTTAAATAAATTCTTTAATTTGGGCTAATAAACTGTGTTGTGCTCTGACCACATAGTCTCCCCTGCTCTGCACAACACCAAAGGGAGGGGGTAGCCCAGGGAAGCAAGGAAAGGCCAGACCCTTCAGTTGCCAACTTTCCAGGGATCCCCCAAAGATCGGGGATTCCATCTCCAAATAGGGAGATTCGGCCAGAGGGGTCTCAGTGTCCCTCTAAAAAGGCAGTGACAACTCAGTGAGTGGCGGCAGCGAACTTAAGGAGTGAGTTACGCCCACAGGACAAGGGTGGAAGGCGAACAGCTGAGTTGTAAACTGGAGCCTGTTTCGCCACGGTAGGCAACCAAGCTTGGTTCAGACAAAAAAAGGAAACCCTTTGCAGGCCTTTGTGAGGAACTCATGGGGGCCAGTCCTGACTAGGGTTGCCAGCTCCAGGTAGGGAGATTCCTGGAGATTTTCTGGTAGAGTCTATGGAAGCCAGGGTTTGGGGAGGGGAGAGACACTTCCACTGAACAGAATGCCATACATCCCACCTTCCAAAGCAGTTATTTTCTCCGGAGGGGAGAGATCTGTGGTCTGGAATTCAGTTGTGATACCTGGTGATCTTCAGGCTCCAACTGGAGGTTGGCTGCCCTAGGCATAACAGTCAGTGCTTCAGAGCAGGGCCTGCTAGATCCAGGTTCTTGCTGTAGAAGCTGAGTGGGTAATTTTGGACCAGTCACAGACTTTCAGCCTAACCTACCTCACAGGATTGTTGTGCAAGTCAAAAGGGAGAGAGGAGAATGATGTAAGCTGCTTTGGTCCCCATTGCAGAGGAAGACTACTTTTCCTCCTGGGAAACTATTGTTACCAATCTCCAGGTGAGGGCTGGAGATCACTCATAATTACAACTGCTCTCCAGATGGCAGAGATCAGTTCCCCTGGAGAAAATGGTGGACTCTGTGGCAGTCAGGGCTTCAGAGCATGGAAGAGGCTGCAGTTGTGTGTGTGGGGGAAATGGAAAGCTGAAGAGAGAGGTGGAAATAAAGGTAGGTTGATGATTGGCTGGGAAGGAGATAGGGTTGCCAACTCCAGGTGGGTGATTCCTGGAGATTTGAGGGATGGAACCTGGAGAGGGTGAGGTTTGAGGAGGGGTGGGACCTCAGACAGGAACAATGCCATAGACTCCACCTTCCCAACCAGCCATTCCCTTCTGGGGAACCACTGTTACCAATCTCAGGAGAGGGGTGGAAATCACTCAGAATTACAACTGATCTTTAGGAGGGAGGGGGGAGGAGATGCAAAGCTGAAATCAGAGGGGCAGATAATGGCAGGGTGATGCTTGGCTGGGAAGGAGATAGGGTTGCCAACTCCAGGTTGGGAAATTCCTGGATATTTGAGGGGTGGAGCCTGGAGAGGGTGAGGTTTGAGAGGTGGGACCTCAGACAGGTACAATGCCATAGACTCCACCCTCCAAACCAGCCATTTCTTCCTGGGTAATAATTGTTGCCAATCTCCAAGTGAGGGCTGGAGATCACTGAAAATTACCACTGCTCTTCAGGTAGCAGAGATAAATTCTCTGGAGAAAATGGTGAACTCTGTGTCATTATACCCTGCTGAGTTCACCACAGCACATTGATGCTGAGTGCTCAAGGCCTTCACACTCTCCCAGAGCCTCTTTCTAGAGCTCGTTGTATTTATTTCCACAACGGCCCTTATTCCTAGCACAGTATAAGGCAGCTTCATGTGTATCTGTCCATGTGTTATGTGAGGAGTCCTTCAAATACCTCACATCCCCATTTTTGAAGCCACAGTAGGAAAGGAAACTTGGGGTTACTCACAGCAGTGTGAAGCAGTTGGTCTTTTTGGTGTACTCTGTTTCCAGGGCGCAGGTTGCTCCACAGAGATTCAGTGGTAAAGCCACCATGGAGCTCTGCTGTGCAAAGGAAAGCAAACGATAACGTCTCTGGAATTTGTAAAGAATTGTTTCTAAACTACTTTGCCAGCACAGTGAAGCATTTCAGGAGAACAAGAGTTCATCTGCCTTCCACTGTGTCCACCCCGCCTCTGGCTTATAACAAGGGAACAGTGACCAAGAGATAAGCTATTATCTTCAAAGGACTAAACTAGGTACAAGTTCTAATGACAAGGGAAGGCAGGTCATGAGTGCTGAAATCTGAACATTCTGGCAAGAGAAGGTGAAAGAGCTTTGCAGCTGGAAGAAAGAAACTACTTGAGACTGTTACTCTACATTTCTCTGATTAGTGAGCTATGATTTTCAGGGCAAGGCTGTCTCAGTGGCTGCACCCACACTTTGGAATGTGCTACCTCACTGCTCTTGTTGCTGCCAAGTGAGCTTGGCTTTATTCAGAAAGGCCTGTGTGGGTTTATTGATCTTTTCTTCTGCTTATGCTCTGTGGGGTTTCAGGTTTGCCCATTATTGCTAGAATTGGTTTTAATGCGATTATGGATTATTTTTTATTTATTTCAGCATTTATTATTTCTGTACACTGGTTCAAGATCTCCTTTGGCACAGAATGGGATAAGCAAGTTCTAATTTAAAAAAGAAAATCAGTAATACTTTGTACATGCATACTCCTGTCAGCACTAACAATTCAGGCTGAAGAAGCCATCAGATAAAGGATATAAAATGCTGGAGGCATGAATGAAGCAGACATCATAGAGAAACAGCAGGAGACAGAGGGAGTAAGTGTCTGGCAGAAGTCTTCCTACATTATACCAATTTCCACTTCTTATCCCCACCCCTCTGTGGATGCCTCATTGTACACAATTACCTTGAGAGTGTCTTTCTTGTCTTGATAGAAACACAAAGTTTGTCTCATCAGTACTGTATGGAATGTGTTCCAGGAGCGACAATTTGCCTAGGAGAACAGAATTAAAGATCATATCTGAAGCAGGCAAAACTTTGGGAAGATTCCCCTGTTCATGAAGATTCTCATGTGTAAATCCCTCTTTCTGTTGGGAAGAAAGTAGGGGGAACACCTTTCTCCTAAAAAACAAAAATAGGCAACCATTGCTTGAGAGGTTTTCTAACTCTCCAGAGCAGGAGTGCCCCTTGTTTCAAAAAGCAATGAAATAGCTGTATCAGGCAGGAATGGGGTATGAAGCCACAGGTGGTTGGGTAACAGCAGTATTATATATATGAAAGTCCCCTCACCGTAAATTCAACGCCCAGGCCAAACCGCTGGACCTAGAAACACCAAATTCAGGGAGAGCGCTTCTACAGTGGCGTAGATGCTCGCTAAGAAGGGATTTTTAGAAATACAACCCCTAAGTGGGTCAAAAGGGGTAAAATGTGCTCCCCCCATTGATTCCTATGCAGCTGCCAGGCTCTGATTGGTCAGCTGCAGAGCTCAGTGTTCTGAGGTAACAGCTACAGGAGTCTGCAGAGAGCTAATGACAGTTGAGGAAATCAGGAATGGCCAACAACCACCTGTGAGGTGCAGTAATGCTGCTGGCCCAGCCTCTCTGATGGCTTCCAACACACTCCCCCCACCTCCTACACCTAAGAGGCGGTTGTCTGTCAGGTGCAGCAGTGATTGCAGGGTGCTTAAAGCCACGAGGGAGCCCGCCCCAGCAGTAATGCCTTAGTGATCCTGCCAGCCCCGCCTCCACAGTGGCTTCTAATACTCCTCCCCCCTCCCCCTCATACACTGGACAGGCAGCTGTTAGGAGGAGGCAACTTAGGAATGTGGCAAAGACATTTGCACATAGTACTCCTGCAGGGCACTGAGCTGCGCAGGCCAAGTACCAGCAAGATCACCCTGAGGTGCGCAGAACAACACAGTCTCCATATGAGCAAAACAATCCAGGAACACAAGTAGAGAGGCCATCACTTTCATGGAAGGTGGCAGGAATTGACTTAACATACGACTGCTTCTTAAATGGACAGTTCTATGTTGCCTGCTCCAGAGTGAGCTCATCAAGCAGCCTGGTGATCCTAGCACCTGAGGGCAGAGGTCTACAGAGAGGTCCTTCAGTAGAGAAAAAAAAAGGTACGTATATCTTACTTCATTTTTACACTACAGTCTTCTCCACTAGAATTCCTACAACAAATGTCACATTTCAAACTTCACGTCATCAGTATTATAACTGGATTTACGGAACTTAAATACTGTAGCGAAGCACGGGTATCAGGCTAGTGTTAAGAATAAAATATGTACTGGAAAGGCCTTGAGCCATTTGCCCCACACATTGTGAAGCACACCTCTATGAGTTAATACAAGTTGTTAGGTGCTGATGATCTGTTACAGGAGAACACAAATGAAGTTGCTTTCTAGTGACATGTGGTGTATGTCCATCATTGTGTATTGATCCATGAGGACCTGATCAGTGCAGAGTGAAAGATTATCAGCTTTTCCCCACCATCAGACAGAACACCAGACAGCTCCGACAATACCTTTCTTCCTCCTGCCTGCAATAGGTGCTTCCTCTCCAGAGTTCCTTCCATCATCTGGAGCTCCAATTTACTGGGTAGAAGCTGGAAAGAGGCAGAGAACAATAAACAAAAGCCATCCCAGGGAAAGCATAAAAGCTGACCTCCTGCAACAGTGTCCCAATTATGAAGATTTATCAGCACCGGTCCCACTCAACCCACACTGAACAAGGATGGGTGAAATTTCTCCTCAAACTACCATTGTGCACCTGGCTTCAACTGTATTTCCCTTTTTTATAATCCCTGGCCAAGTCAATAATACCTGCATTTGTTCAGGCATGATTAAATTGAGTATCCCTGATGCTTGAACAAACAATTCATTCAGCTTGTTCAGTTACGCTCACTACTGACAACTAATAGAGCTACTTTTGGGTGTGCAGCCACAGTATTTGCATCCAGACTAGCACTCTGCCGCTTTAGCATTCCTTTTCTGTAATTAGCTGCAAGTGGAACTGAAATGGTGGTATCGCATAGTACTTTATATGGAGCTGTATTCCCCGTAAGAATCCAGCAGCGTCCGTCCCCCATGGCAAGATCCTCCTATGATGTTCACTTGATAGTAAAGCAAGTAAATCTCATTTCAGCAAAGGTTCCACTTCTCCCTGCAGTTGTCTCTTTACATTTTGGTACCTCCCTCTTGTTTCATGGTATAGCTGTGAATATTCCTGCTTAATTCAGCACTTTATGTTAACTCATGGTGGCCTGTCTGTTCCAGAATGGAGCTCTAATAATTCCTTTTTTCTTGGTGGAAGGAGGCTTTTATTACAACTTTTCCAATCGCAGCCCAAGTAATTGTTCATGCCTCACAAGTGAGCAGGAAGCAATTAATTGGCTGAGAAGCAGAAACTGTTTTGAACCAAAAGAAAAAAAGGAAAATGGAAAGGGACAGTAGCCCTGGGAAGCCCCAACAGCACTTTGTCAGTCCCCATGAACTAGCTACCACTGCAGTTGTATTTTAAGTAAAACAAACGAACAAAAATACCTCATAAACCCCCTGGGTCAAAAAAAGAAAAGAAAACAGTGCAGAAAACACTGAGATGCAATGGGCTGTCCATATCACCTTGATTCTGTGCAAACACTGAGTGAATGAATTATGTCTGTTCCAAACAAAGGGATGGATCCCACTGAATGTTTTCTGCAGATGAATTTCTGCCTGTGGGGCATGACTTCCTTGTCCCCTCCTGCCCCCCCCCCCTGCTGCAAACCAAAATGCTGTCTGGAGAAGAATTTCAAGGTACAGCAGGAGGGGAGGGGCAACGAAGTCATGCTTGGTGGGCAAAACACCCCCCGCCTTGCAAAAAATTATCTGTGGGATCTACCCCATAATAGCTGAAGTGGAAGCAACCGTTATGTTTATGCAGGAGATTTTGAGTTTGATTTCTACTGCCTGATGGCCATGAAAAAGACCTGTGTTATAGTCTTGCTAGAAAAACATTTGGTTAAGATGATGATAAATGTTGGTGGGTTTTTTTCTGTCTCTCTTTAAGTGAGGGACATCTTGATCTGTACCACTTATCCCTGAGCCATTTTGTCTATGATGTCTGGGAATGTGGGGGGGGGGGGGGACTGAACGTTTGGTTTTCAGACAGGAAAATCCTGTCAGAATGTGAATGGACAGAAAAGGGCTCTGACCTTGTTGACCCCTCTGCTCTCTTCCTGGAGCTTCAGCTGGCCCCCTGGGCAGATGCTCGACACCGTTCCCACAGATGCAACCTCTGTCCTCTCAGATGGCTCCGGGCAAGAAGGCAAAGGCGCCCAGCACTGAGTTGAACTGTTCTTCCTACCAAGTCTATCACTGGACCCTTTCCCCTCTTCTGAGCCCTGAAGTGGTTGGACAGAGGTAGGAAGCTTGAACTTGGCCACCAGCACATTCTCCGCTGCTGTCAGGATGATTTTCCCACTAGAATCACCTGGGCTTTGTGCTTTGTCTACCTTTCTCTCTGGGCCACAAGAGACACCTGCACTTCTCTTGTGCTTCTCCACATTACTCCATATGGCCTGCAGCTCCTCCTCTTCTTCTTCAAACAACTCATGGGCAGGGTGACAAATGTCTGTCCTTCCTGGCAACTTTGGTCCTTCAGCTGTATTTCCTCCTGGAGCCCGGACTAAAGCGTCTAGCCCTGAAGATGCTGGGATGCCTTCTTGGTGGCCTAGTTCACACTCAAACAGAGACACCTTAGTGGGAGATTTGAGTCCCATGTGATGCCACGGAGGTAGGATTTTTTCACAGCTTCCTTCTAACCCACCCAGGCTGCTTTCCTTATTTGGCATTGCATTTGCTGCAGGGTCCTTAACTTTGGCTGTACTAGAAGCTGCATCAACAGTGCTCCTATGTGTAGCAGGGGAGGGCTTGAATTTCACTCTAGAGGATTCTCCGACTTTGGCTGTGTGCTCAGTTGGCTCCTTTCCCTGCAACCCCTCACCAGTGCTGCCAGTTGTCCCCAGTTTGGCAGCTAGTCTGTCCCATTCCCAGCCTAACTGCTCATGCAGCACACTGACACGGGACAGCTGGTTCTGTCTGAAAACAGGATACTCATCACTGGGACTGCTGCAGCTCTTAGGACTCTTCCTGTCTTCACAAGGAGCAATACAATCGGCCTTCTGCTGGCTGTAGCTTGGGTTGCAACTCACCTCTTCAAACCATGTGCCTCTCTCTTTCTTGTGAAACTTACGGTGAACATCCCCTGTCCCAGGTGGCTTTTGGCATATGGCTGGCTGTACTCCTGGCCTTCTCTTCTGCAGGCTGGTATCATTTTCCTGCAGCTTTGCTCCACTGGTGTTCCACTGAGCCACTCCACTGGCTTGGCTTGCTTCCTTTCTCTCCTGTGCTATGTTGATGGTATCGTGGATGTTCCTCAATGCAGTGGGATCCTTAGGGAGCTCCAGGTTCAGGATGCAGCCCAGAGGAAGATGCTGGCACATGCTCATCTTCTCGGGAAGTGCCTGGGGGCTGCTGAGACTTTTGCCATCTCTCACAAATGTGCGCTGTCCAGATCCTTTCCCAATTGAGGCACATTCAACATCAATAGCCCGTGCCAATGGGTTCTTTACATAGTCCATCAGCTGCCTGAGCTGCGGGCAATGTGTCTGCAAGGTCTGTGCCTTTCTGCTGCACTTAGGGGGCCAGGTACTACTGCACTTCTTCTCTTGAACAGGTTGTGGATCACTCGGATCTGCTTTCATGATCCCTTGCAAGGTGAGCAGCTGGGCATCTTCTATTGTTCCTTTTCTGCTCAGGCTCTTCATGAGGGAGCTGGAGCTGATCTTTGGCAAGGTGTGGAAGGTGGTGGTGCCCCACCCTGTACTGGGAAGCGGGGAAAACTGAGTTCTGGTAGTCATTTGCTCCACAAGTTGTGCCATGGTTGAGCTTCTACAGACCATACCTTTATTTTTGCCCTCCTTCACATGCAAATAGGTGCTGACCTGCAGAGAGAAGGAAGCCATGGAGAATCACTGATACAAATACTCAAGGTCACTGGAGTTCAAACACCTATATATCCTGGCTAGCACTGCAACAAACTTTGTTCACACAATTATTTTTTGCAGCCATGCACTGATACATGCTCCTTCAGCCCAGCTTTTGCCCACACATCACACAGAGCCCCATCCATGCTACACAACAGTCAGTGAACTGAACGACCTAAGACATGTTCTGGGGTGCTAGGATCTCTTCAGTTTCTTCTACTGCAGTTCCAGAGTACCACAATCCAACTTTGCTGGACTTTTTGGGGAAAGGGGTACATAACCAGTTAGCAAAAGTCATTGAACTCCTTGCAAAGTGCACTCCGCACACTTCACCACAAGGTTCTCTGAAAAAGAGACTACCTATAAACCTCAGCATACAACAGTTTAGCAAAAGCTCAGGAGCCTGGCATGAGGGGGAAGGCAATGATAGCAGGTCATCACTACACCGCCACCCCCAGTGTGGTGTCAAGTAGTGGTCACAGTGCTGGACTAGGACTGGAGGGGGGGGAGCTGAATTAAAATCCCCACTGTTGCCCTAAGGAACCCCCCCTTCCACTGAGAATCATGTCTTTATGCCCCGGTATCCTCTGGCCTAACATGGTCAGAGGCGTGAGGAGGACTTCTATCTTTGATATCAAACCACAGATTCCAGGTACGCATCACCTTGGGCACTTGCAAAAGAAGTAGTCTGATTGCCACGAGAACTCTGGAGCACATTAATCAAGGTTCTTTTGCATGACTCTCCAAGAAGCCCCCAACACAGGCATTGAGTAATGACCCAGGTATTGAGGAATGACAACAACCTACCTTTCCAGAATCACCTTTACAATGCAGCCTTTTCAGGAAATATAGCTCAAAAATGATGGTCACAGTCACAGAACAGACCGCAAAAAGAAGAAACTCTGAGGTAACTGCGCTAGAACATATTTCAATAAACAATCACAAAATATATACAAAAATGTGTACAAAAATCATATAAATGCACAAGGTTGAAATGACAGACCAAGAGTCGCTGCTTTCATCCACTTTCGGAAGAAGAATAGTATCGAAACGATAGAACATTCCGAACCATCGCCACACCATTTTCAACTGCCTTGTGCATTTATATGATTTTTGTACACATTTTTGTATATATTTTGTGATTGTTTATTGAAATATTTTCTAGCGCAGTTACCTCACAGTTTCTTCTTTTTGCGGTCTTCTCAGGAAATATAACCATATGCATGGTCAGGACCATCTACCCAGCTACTGATCTACTATCAGCAAGTATTAGTCATGCTTGCTTACACAGGTATTCAGTCATCTTGACCAGACTCCTCTCCCCTTGTATCACCTGGATGTATCTCTTAGTAGTGTCCCTCACAAAAGAAGGTTCAAATTAGCCAATGGCAGCCACAATTCTGGCATTTCCCCACAATAGGGATATGGATTCTAACATTTCCCCAATCACAACAATCTTGCAATGATCCCCAGTCAATAGCATTAGTCTTGCAGGTACCCCTTGAATGATCTAAGACCTCCCTGACCCATCCACTTTGTAGAAGGCAGGTAAAACAAGATGCATAAAAAGGGACTATCAAACTCCATAATATCATAGTTGGTTCTGCTAACAAAGCTTCTTTCCACTGCAGACAGGAAACAACTGGATCTTTTCTTCAAGTATAGGCAGAGGATGATTTCTGTTTCTCTCTTCCCATCTTTCCTGCCACACCTTTTCTTACCTTCCCTCATCTTAGCTCACCCTTTCCCCAGTCAGTTGCCGGTTAGCTTTACAGTCCTCTGGCTTCCCCTCACACTCCTCTCCTTGTTAGGAACTCCATGTTTCTCCTTATACAGCCTGCCTTTCTCTCATGTCCTTCACATTTCTGCATCCCTGTGGGGGATAGCCCCTAAACCTTTCTCTTCTCCCTGGGAGGACTGGTTCTTTAGAATAGCCAGAAGGGAACAATACATTTTTTGGGTTAAACTAACTGTAAGCGGGCACTACTTTAAAGTAACTACAATCAGACACTAGAACAGCAATCCCTAACATGGTGCCTGTAAGTATGTAAGTATAAAATATCAAGTATGTAAGTATAAAATATCTGTTCCAGACCAGGCAGGTTGTGTGTGAATCCTGGCCAGTTAGTATAATTTATAATTTGATAATATCCTTACCTTTTTTGTATTCATTTATGTTCAGGATTCATACACAACCTGCCTGGTCTGGAGCAGATATTTTATACTTAAATTTCTAGTGTGTGTTGTCATTATTTAGACCACCAAAGAAGGCCCTCTGGGCTAAAACATGTTTGGTCTGAACTGACATGTGTTGCTGTATGCTATGTGGATGTGGTTTTTATCTATGGTTTTAATCTATATTTACTGTGCACTTTGTAATAAATAGATGTGTCTTATTCTTTTGTTTAGCTGCTCAACCTTCTAGGTTCCTAACTTGCTTCACAGGCTGCGGTTTCCCCCCTTTTCCTATTTCCTCAACCTAGAGAATTCACCAAACATTCAATGCCAAAACAAAGGGAGTTTCCTAAGGACATTTCCCCTGCCATCACCATGCAGGAGATCAAGTAGACATTGTTAGCTGTAATATAATATCCAATCTGTTTGCCTTCTCCTACACTGGAGCCCTGGAGGAGAAGGTCATATCTGTGACTTCTGAGACTTGCAAGGTTGCTTGCAGTGCATTCCAGAGCGGCATCTGAAGGGAGGGCCCTGAGGGGTTAGTGAAGGGCTTTCTTGCACCATGCATCTATTCTATCAGGCATGCGTCCTGCTCCAGCTGTTTTACCTCTTCCACACGCTGGTGGGGTGGCCTTTTCTTTCTCTTTAAACTACCCAAAGTACTTCCTAACAGCCCCTGGCAACGCTTCCAAAAGGTTTTATAGGCTGAGGGTTTAGTTTCACAGAGCTGGATTTGAGGAGAAAAAGAGACAAAAAGAAAGTGATGGAGCAGCAAGGATGATTCCCCTACAGGTCAGGAGGGAACGGAGGTGTGTGTGATGAAGAGGGACAGCAGGATGTGTCACAAGTGCACACTGCAGAAGTTCACAAAAAAGAAGCTGAGACTGCCGGGCTGCTGATCTCCATGATCCAGACTGTGCACAGCTGCTGCTCATCTGGGAACTTACAAATTCTCCACTGGTAAGTCTTGACCAGTAAGGCTGACCATCCCCAGCTGATGTCCTGCGTGAGCACCTCAGAATCCCTTTGCATCCATCAGAAAATCTCATCATTCCTCTAGGGGCACACATTCCTTGTATGGGAGATGCCAAGGAACTCTACCAATGTCCTACCCAGAACATGACAATATGTTACCTTGTGCAAGCCCTCCTCTTCCACTGATGCTGGTACTCCTGCCTGGTTTTCTGATGCCAGTATTCCTGCCTTCTTCTCCCCTTTCTTGCCAATGCTCAAAATCAAGTTCACTGTGCCACCCAGGTTGCCAGTACTGTGTTGTGGCACCAGCAGCACTGGGTTCTCCGTGGGTTTTAGGGCCAATATTTCCTTGGGGGCGTCCTTCTCAGTAGGCGTGCAATGTACTAATGCTTCCAAGCTCAGTTTACACACTGGGTGAGCATCGGCAACAGGCGGGACTGCAGCAGAGTCCTCCGTCCTCTCTTGCTCATGGTGCTGTGGTGCCGAACCATCTTGGAGGGAGAGTAATGCGAATGGAGGCGCTTCTGACACACTGGGTCTCGGGATGCTGTCTTTATCAGGCATGTCTACTTCAGGGGCTACTTTCATCTGGAGAGCAAGAAAATATTGTAAAATAAAAAGAACTGAGTTGCAGTTCAGCAATCCCTTCAGTCTAGGGTCCCTCGTCTGTTCCCCTTCCTTCTGAACAGTGATCTCCCTCACCTGAAGGCTCAATTTGCCTGGACAGGGTATTCTGACTGTAGCTGGGAAGAACATCATCAGTTAAATTTCAGCATGTTATAACTAAACTAGACATGAGGCTGGGAAATGAGGCTGGGAAATGAGGCTGGGAAAGATCACTGTCTTCAAATGTAAACTGCAGTTGCTGGGGAGTAGGGGAATTCAGACTGGGGCTGTGAAACACCCATTTCCCATCCTGAAATTGCACCACCTCTTCTTCTTCTTCTTCTTCTTTTTTAACATTGTATTTATTGAGTTTTCCATTAACATATAATAACACAACTTAACAAACTCCAAAATGATGAAATTAAACAACATGTAGTTCTCAAACACCTAGTTTTAGTTTCTGATGTTATACAATTCTATTACGACTTTATCTCAAGCTTTATCCTGTTATGCCTAGCCTAATTTCCATTAATTTCTATCTTCTTTATCTTCAGCCAGTTGTATATTATTCTCTATTTTCCCCAGTATTTTTCTTCTGGTCTATTTTGTAATTCTATATTTACTCTATCCATTTCCGCTACTTCCAACACCTTATACTTTAATTCCTTTATAGAGGGTAAAATGTTCGATTTCCACCTTTTTGCTATCAAGATTCTTGCCGTGGTTAATATATATTGCACCACCTCTTCTAATCCAAATCAAGCCCCTTCCCGGTTGCTATATACAGTTTAAACAACAACAACAAAAACATTATTATTATTATTATTATTATTAAGGAGAGAAAAATCAAGCCCCTCCTCAGACGCCAGATATAGTTTAAAAACAATTAGAATTTAAAAATGCAAAAAGATGCTTTCCCAATTCTCTTAACATCGTGTCGTTTGTTTCCCAGGCTGCTGTTAATGGAGAAAGGGCAGGGTTTGGGGTGTTTTTTTTTTGAGAAGCCATATGAAACAGGCTCAAGATGATGAGTGTCAGGAAACCCAGGAAGTGGAGCACCTCATCAACTCAGAACTTGTACGCTGTTCATCTGTGTCCTGCCCCTTTTTCTGAGGAGCTCAGAGCAGCGCTGTTATCCTAACAATAATCTCGCAGTATAGATTAGGTTGACAGACAGATGGTTAGACTCACACTACCCAGCAAACTTTATAACTGTATTTTAATCCTTGGATTTCCAGAGCTCCTGCATCCCATTTGATGAAGTTGATGTAACAAGTGAACTCAACATGACTCGCAAAATATGCATCCTGGTGAAATAGGACAGAAGCAGGGAAGCGTGCCCGGTATAGCTACCCGGGTGACTTGTTTATGATTTCATAGATACCTAGGGCTAAGCTTGTGCTAGGGCAGAAAAAACACTCTCTTTCATCTCTAGAAGAAACTAGCTGAAGATATTAGAAATGGATCTGAGGACAATTTAGTGGACACACTCAATTATGCTTAACAATTAAAGAGGGGGAAAGTTCTGGTAATGGAGAACAAAGGCATGTAAATTGGTAATGTGCAAATTCAGTCAACTATTTTAAAAGGAAAAATGGCTCTAACAAATAAGGATGGATAAAACAATGGCCAGGATTAGGCACTTCAGGAAATATTAATCCAGATATGAGCAAAGGGTATCATAGCAAGGACTGTACATATTTAATTAAATTCTGACTTTCATATGAGGAAAACAGGAAGTGAAGTGCTGTTCAGGTACAATCATGGGATGATGTGCAGAGACTGTACAACACTTGCCATGCCATTTCCCATGGTAACCACCTGAGGCAAATATTCCCTTCATAGATTCAGCAAAACATGTTTTGGCAACTTCACAATAAAGGATTGGTTAGTGTTCTTTTGCAGATCAGAGAAAGGGGGACTGAATTGGGATAATGACTCTGCTTTATCAGTCTTGATGCACAGAAGGGGACACACAGCCACCAAATGTCATCTCACTCTATTAGCCCACCTACAGCATTCATCCCAGATCATTCTGCTCTCCTGCTCTACACTGGTTCTGTGGCTGCACTTTAATAAGCCTGGTGAAAGGGCTGTTTTGGCAATTCTGAGCTCTCACAAAGCCCCTTGACAGCTCCATACTAACTTGGTACTTCTTGGGCACACTCTGGGCGCCATCTTGACTCTTCCAGCCATCACTCTTGGTGCCAAGCTCCTTCTGAGAACTCTGTGCTCGCCAACGCACCACCACCCATCCCAACATGCTCTGCAGCTCCTCCATTCGCTCCTTTATCTAAAAGCAGACAATAAAAGAAAATAAAAGGGCAGATATGTCACATGAGAATGTCTTACTAATATTCTGCGCCTTCCCCACCAGATATGAATTCCGTAACCTCAAGAGAAGGCGTAAGGATGCCTGCCAGGGCTCTTTCACTTGTGTAGCAAAGAGGTACTTTCTAACAGAAATGTCTTCATCATCTGCTGTCCAGGAGCAGGGATGCATAGGCTACTGAGCCCTTTGGACTTAAACGCTGTGGCTGCCACTGAACAGTGTTGTCTGAGCTTTCTCCACCTCTGGGTCAAACGAGCAAGAGTGCTAGCTGATTTGCCTTGCTGAATGAACAACTCACTAGTATAACTGCCTCACGGGGCTCTTCGAAGTCAAGGATAGCCAACGGATGTCCTCAAGCAGTGTATTCGGCCCCTGGCAACATCACCAAATTACAATCGAGTATACAATAAAATATTTCTCCAAAGTTTCACTCTTAAGAAAAGTGTTTTCAAGTTGTGAGAGACAGAGGTATCATACTCCTGTGTACTACCAGTCTATTCAGGATTGCCATGGCAAGCCCTTACTGTTATTTATTTAGAACAATGTTCCTACAACTTTAGCAATCTGTGGGCAGGATTTTAATTTAAATTGTTTGTGGACCCCTCCCTGCCCACTGCACTGAAACATTCCTTTTCAAAGTGTACACAGCGGGATATGCACATTCTATCGAGGCTTCTGTCCTCTCACATCCTCAGAAGCGTATCAGCTGCACTTTAACAGCACATTACAAGTGTGTATGAGAGAAATGTTTGTATTGTTTGTACATGGCCTGTAAGGTCAGGTCTCAGAGGGCAGTTGATTCCACTGGGCCCCAATCAAAAGGCCTTGATCTAAGTTATCTGTCTCCTTCTCAGAGTCAAATCTAGTTCAATTGTACACTGGATGTAACTATGATGACTGCGTTAGGACTGCCCCTCCTTGGTGTCACTTGGCCAGCTGGAATTCCTGAGTCTGAGCAATTGGTTCCCAGCAACCAATCAATGTGTTTTGTGGCTAATGTTTTGATGTGATCTGGATGCTAAGTAGGGACGCCAGCCTCCAGGTGGGACTGGGGGAACCCATGGAATTACAGCTCATCTCCAGTCTACAGAGATCAGTTCTGCTGGATAAAATGGATGTTTGGAGGGTGGGCTCTGTGGCACTGTACCCCACTGAGGTCCCTGTCCTCCCCAGGGTCCACCCCCAAATCTCCAGAAGTTTCCCAACCTGGATCAGGCAACCCTACCCCAGCTTGATTTACATCTGGCTTTTCTGTCACAAAAAAACCACATGAGACATATCATAACATAAAATCACAAAGCACATTTAAAAGAAGTCTAAGGGATTAAAAACTGCAGACAGCAGCACCATAAAAGAAGCCATAAAAACAGCCTCCCCCCCCAAAAAAAAACCCTCAAGAAAACTTTCAGATATTAAAAGCAGCAGAGACAAATAAGCCCTACAATCAGCAATAGAACATACAGAATCAAATAGCTTGAAGGAATAAACATGCCAAATACTTCTGGAATGAAGTCATTTCCCCAAAAGGCCAAAAGAGAAGAGGCCTGACTGACCTTCCTGGGGCAGGTAATTCTAGGCTGGAAGACACTGATGAAAAAGCCCCCTTGGCATGCACCGGTTTAAGCAGGGCACGAGGAGCTAGTTTTAGGGCACAGGCAGGCTCATGGGGCCAGTTTGTGCATGGAGCCTGACCACTGGTGAGTCTGTATTATGGAACACTCTTTTGCTTTAGGATCACAGCCTGGGGAACAGAGGAGTCGCTAAGAATATAGAATTGGCTAGCTGTGCTGCAAGCTGCCATTTCTCAACGGCATCTTGCCAAGTACATATCTTTACAAAGTGAGTAATCCGAGTATCCTGCAACTGTGAGAGCCAGTTTGGTGTAGTGGTTAAGTGTGCGGACTCTAATCTGGGAGAACTAGGTTTGATTCCCCACTCCTCCACTTGCACCTGTGACCTTGGGTCAGTCACAAGCTCGGGCACAGCTGTCCTTGAAAAAGAGCAGTTTGTGTCAGAGCTCTCTCAGCCCCACCCACCTCACAGGGTGTCTGTTGTGGGGAGGGGAAGGGAAAGGAGTTTGTAAGCCGCTCTGAGACTCCAAGTGAAGGGCGGGGTATAAATCCAATCCTCCTCCTCCTCCTCCTCCTCTTCTTCTTCTTCTTCTTCTTCTCTCAAAGGCTGACATCCCCAAAAGATTTTCAGCAGACATCAGCCTTCCCCACTTACTGTCTCACTGAGGTCATGCTCCTCAGCCACCAGCTCCCGTCCTGCAGCTGCCAACTCTTCAAACTCCTTCAGCTTAGTTTCAATGTTGCTCTCCAGCTCCTCCCAACGATTCTCTGACAGACCATGAACGCTGCTCAGACTCTCTGAGAAGATCTGAGCACGGGTGTCTTCTGTCCAGGAGCTAGGGAGTCAAGGAAAGAGAGATGGGTTTATCACTCCGGAACCCGGACTGAGGTGACCTCACAAAACTGCAACTAACAGGAACTCCATACAAGACTCGGAGCGGGGTGTTCTCAAGCCAGGAAGAATCCCACAGAAACCTCAGACTGACTTAGCTTAACTAAGCTTGTAGGCCGCATCATATTTCTTACAGTGGCACAGAGTTAAGACACCTGAACCCTTTGTAAGGTGCAGCATTGGATGCTAACATTGCTGAGAAATTGCCAAAGTCCTGGAGCCTCAGGAGAGACCACAGTCACCCCCATCACTGCACAGCCCTGCCACAGAAGTGATAGCTGGACTGAACCCTCCAAAGTTCTGGGGCCACCTCTGTTTTCGATGCATGTGCTGCCATCTGTGTCTCCTCTCCTGTTCTTGTATCTGCCAGACAACAGAGGGCAAGGCAATAGCAGCCTTGGCAGCTAGGAGTGGCTGCTGCCTCCTGGATGTGAGGAAAGGAAATGGGTGGGCAGGTGGGCCAGCAGCAGCACCTGCTCCCAGGTGCCACAACAGCTTCCACACAGAGACCTGCAAAGGCACCTCCTAAAGGGAAAACAACAGTGATCGTCAAGATGTCCAAGCATCCACACGCCACATCCTGGCTGTTGCCACTCCACCTCCTCCTTTCCCTCTGCTGCTACGGCAATCCGACCAAAAACCCCTTTGCTAGCCAGCAACCTCCACCTTTCCAGTTTCCCGGCTGAGAAAACGAAAAAAAAGCCTTAAAGAGCTTAAAAAAAAGGAGACCCGAATGAAGCTTAGTGCCACCATTCAGAAGGCAGAGCTTAGATCCGCCCCCTCCCTGGATTGGCTGTGAGCACAACTTCCACATGGAAGCTCCACGTGCAGTCACCCCACATTTTTTGTTTAAATTGTATCAAAGGAAGTTTTTCTTTGATTCATTTTAAACAGGAAAGCCTCATGAACCCCACGTGTCATGCCTGGAATCAGCACACTGTATAATATGTGAAAGCTCCCCCCCCCATAACAGGCAGAGGCATGCTATCAGTTTGGCCTTGCCCATGACACCATTTTCCTGACCTAAAACAGCCCCCACAGATAAAGTTGCCAGCTCTGGGTTGTTAAATACCTGGAGATTTTGGGGGGTGGGTGGGGTGAGGGGAGGGGAGGGGGAGGGGGAGGGACCTCAGCAGGGCATAATGCCATAGAGTCCACCCTCAAAAGCAGCCATTTTCTCCAGAGGATCTGATCTTGGTCATCTGGAGAGCAACTGTAATAGCGGGAGATCTCCAGGTGCCACCTGGAGGTTGACAACCCTACCCACAGAGCTGCTATTTGTCCTTTTGTGGCCTGTATGCTTCCCTAAATGGGAAAAACAGTAGCTTAGTGGTCAGAAAAATGGTGCATGGGGGTCAAGGACAAATAAGGCTAGTTTGGCTTGGAGATGCATGAATAGACTCCCAAAGCATTTTTATAGGTAAACTGCAGGGCAGCAGTGAAAAGAGGCCTCAGCCTGATCAGACCATGGTGTGTGTTGGGGGGGGGGGGGGGGAGAGGAGGCTAAGGTTGGGAAACTGGCACTTGGGAAAAGTTCCTTCTTCCCGCACCACAGTCCCAGTCCAAACTGGGGTCTCATATATCTGCTATTTTACTAAAGAAAAAACATTTTGGAGCTCTATATAGAGAACTCTCAGTATCTTGTCTGGTTTGGCCCTAAGAGTCCCCCGGAATATCTGGGCTTTAATCAGCTGAGCAGTGCCAGCTCCTCTCATGGTACTGTTCTTCTAGCTGACTTCAGAGGGCAAGATACATCCTTGATGAAGCAGGACAGGAAATACTTGTTGGAAATAAAATGGAGCAGAGGTCCATCAGTGGATATTAGCCACAAGGTATAGATAGGGGCTCTGGGGCAAGTGATGCTCTGTCTTCTTGGTGCTTGGGGGGGTCAACAGTGGGAGGACTTCTAATGTCCTGGCCCCACTGCTGGACCTCCTGATGCCACCTGGTATTTCTGGCCACTGTGTGACACAGAGTGTTGGACTGGATGGGCCTTTGGCCTGATCCAACACTGGCGTCTCTTATGTTCTTATGTTCTTATGCTCTCTGAAGAAGTGAGCAGTGACTCATGAAAGCTCATACCCTGCCACAAATTTTGTTAAAGGTGCTACTGGACTCTTGCTCTTCTCTACTGCTAGAGACAGACTAACACAGCTACCCGTCTTGAACTGGAAATAAAATATAAGACCCATTACAAAGCTATGTGGTGTGAGTCGTACACTTTATATAGTTGTGATGCATGCACACATGTGCGCGGACACACACACTGTGCAGTATTGATATCCAGAACTTTAAAGGCTGCCTCAGGCCATCTTGCAACTAAATATTCCAGAGATACGAAACTACTGCTGGAGGCCACTGACTTACATAATGGCCAAATAATCTCTGAAGAATTGTCGCAAACGAACAGCATGCTGTCCACGGACTGCATTTTCCAACACCAGTTTCTGCAGCTCCTTCCAAGCCTCTAGTGTTTCTTGAATCCCCTTGGAGTTGTCACGTGTCTGAAACAGGCAGGTCTCCTCCAGCTGAGTTGCTGCTCTCTCCAGATCCTCCAGGTCCACTTCCAGGTCAGACATATCACTCTGTGGAACATGGGACAGCAGCATTCAGAATGGTAACAAGATCCAGCAACAGGAATCTTCTGACCAATGTTCCCTTCTAAGCTGTGGAGCCTTGTGAGCAAAAATTCCACTTTGTGAGCGTCTGGCATTAAAGTTGTGAGTGAGTGATTTGGCTGCTGCATAAATTAGTTTGCTCTGGAGCCATCCTTCCTGAGCTAAGACAAAAATGTGTGAGCCAAAGGCTAAAAAACTGTGAGCTAGCTCACACTAACTCAGCTTAGAGGGAACACTGCTTCTGACTCCTTTCCTTGCCCCTGTCTGAGGACAGGCGTGGGCTCTGCTGATCCCTTTCCATTCTCCCTTCTGCTTTCCAGAGGCCAGGAGCATTAACATCTATGCTGAACAGAAAAGCAAGAGCTTAGAGCCAATGCTCTCTGTGTGGTGGGTGGAAGGACAGATGCTCAATGCTCTCTCTGGCACTACAGGCTGTGAGTAACACCCTGGCTTTTCACCTCTGCCATGGGGAAATGCAACTTACATGTGATGTGGTGTCAGATCCCTGATCCCAAAGTCTATGAGCACCAAACTGATTCCTCTTGGCTGCTGCCAGCCTTGTATCTGTATAAATGGGACCTGTATCTGTATAAATGGGAAATGCCTGGCTTGGATCCAGCTGTTGCCAGACAATGGCACTAGGAGCACTGATCTGCTGTCTACAAACTATCAGGAACTCCCAGTCGGATAAATCCAAAAATGCTAGAATGGGATGTTCTGACTAGAGGATACTGTTTGATGGTCAGTGACTCTGAATGCGTACACCTGCACCAGTGTGATGCAAAAGAAACCAATCACATCCCAAACCTACCATATATTTTGAGATCAGCTCAAATCCAGGTTGGCGCATCGAACAAGAGCAAGTTAACCCGATGCCAGAGAGATCAAACTGAAGGGTAAAAGCACAATGTGATCCTCCTTTGGGAGAAGTCAGATTCAGTGCTCCGCACTGAGCCTCTCACTCTCACCTCTATTTCTTGCTGCCTTCTCAACAAGCCCTGCAGCTCCAGCAGCTCCTGCTCACTTTTCACTGTGGCAAAACTCTTCTCTGCCTGGATGAGGTCCTGAGCCAGGGCTTCTGCATTGACCCTCAAGGTCTCCATCTGGGAGGCAATCCAGGACAGCTGGGAAGACAGCAGTGAAGCTTAAGGGTCATGCAATGGGCCACCCAGGCCACTGGGGCGAGAGCCTTCTCTAGCCTGCTGCACAATTCTGAAGCAGTCATGCAGACACACACGCCTCTGTTTAGCCACATGGCAGAAGCTGGTGGTTCCAGGGTCCCATTCCTGTACTCCTGCCCCATGCTAAAAGATTATTTTTGCATAGTTTGCACACGTCACAATACCCCAAGCAATTTTTAACTGTTCATTCTTCACCAATGTCATTTGTACCATTCTGCAGGTTTCTTAGCATGAAAGCTAAAACAGCTGATCTTTATGGAATATGTCTCATGATATACAAGAAACGGTTGGTGCAGAGTCTGCATCTCAGCCTGAATGCCACTCCTGATTAGGGCTCCATGCCATGGTTTTGTGGCAGGGCATCAATACTTCACATCAAGGAGGGCAGTTTCCCTTGCAACAGTAGCACAAAGAAAATGCAAAGAACAACACAGATCCACTTGGGGAAGCACGCCAGCCTGCTGCTTGTCCCAACACATGGGGTGTTTGCTCACAATCAGTTTTTGTGCTTCTACTCTTTGCATGCATGGAAACTGTGCCAAGATATTGTATGGAAACAGGGAGAAGCAAACAAAACTAAACAGGAACACAAGATGGAGCGGTAGTACAAATATAGCCTCAGCACCATAATAAAGCACCTAGTAGCTTCGCCCCCAAATACTTGTTTTGGCTAGACAAGATGTTCTTTCATGTCCTCCATTCATTGTCCAGTGGCTAATCCCTTCTTCACTGTCACACTTTTCCTTAAAAAACCCCCACAAATTAATCCAAACGTATGTGCCTTATCCTATCTAGTCTTCCTTGCTCACAGAGAATCTGGTTTATTTCAGGAAATGGGAGTTCTTCCTAATCTTGAATTACTCAAATGACTACATTCCTTTCAGGACCTCCCCTACTCCCTCATTTGAAGGACAGAGCTGGGACAAACCAAACCAAAATCTGAAGAGCAGCAATGGGGGAATGCTGGTGTACTATGAACCCTTCTGTTAACCCTCTCTTACCCTTGTTTCTTTCCCATCTTTCAAAGCCTGTACATGGCATTCCAGGTTCTCTGTCTCAGTTGCCGCCTCCACGGCCCGCTCCCGTTCTTTCACCACATCATTCAGCATCTCTACTGCCTCTTGCAGTTCTTCCAGTGGTCTACACAGGTCCTTACTGCTCAGCTGCCGCCCTCCATGGGCTATGAGGAAGGGCAAAGATTCTTGTGAGCTTAGCTGGTTAGCCACTGCCTAAACGAAAGCAATACACAAATAATGTGGTTAGAATCTATATGATATTATTTTTTATTCGTGTTTTATATTCGTTGTGACTGACTGTAGTCACAAGATTAACCTAGACACAATAAATGCTATTGTACCTTATATAACCCACATGTTTTATATATATAACCCATGTCCCTGGCTTTATTTATTGCCAGAGCGATCTTGAGAAGATTACCATTATCCCCATTTTGCAAGTGAGGGATTTGACTTGGAAAACCACAGATTTTCCTAAGGCCATACAGGAAAACTTAAATGGAATTTCTACTAGTATCTTTGATAATGAAGGTTTTTGGCAATGACCTTTACAGAGATACTTGAGCAAGCAACAGTAGTCCTTCACAGAATAATTGTCCACAGTTTAAACCAAACCTAGCCTGCTCCATATATGTAAAATCATAAGAACAAAATAGGAGCCCTGATGCATCAGACCAGTGGCCCACCTAGTCCAGCAGGTTCTGCAGAGTGTCTAACATGTGGTCCTGGAGGGCCAACAAACAAGGCACAAAAGTCAAGACCTGGGTCTCAGAGGTTTATTGCCCCTGAATATGGTGGTTCCCTTTAGTCACCATTAGGGGTGTGCATTCCGGTATACCCAAACCAAAAATATATCCAAAAAACACCTCATTGGTATTTTCGGGTATATTCTGGCATTCCAAATGTAACTGGGGGTTTTCAGGAGAAACCCCCCCCCCAACCCCCAAAAATCCCGGATATATTTAGGAATTACTGGCAAACCCAGAACAACAGCTGAGGGGCTGGAGCAGATTGCTTCTGCCACTCAGCTGTTTTTGGGCTTTCTTCTGCAGACCCTTTAAATATTTAAAGGGACAGCAGAGGACAGCCTGCAAAACAGCGGAGGGGGGAGCACTCTCCCCACCAGCTCAGCTGGAACTCTTTTGGGCTGTTCAACCAAAATGCCAAAGAGAGCCTGAAGGGAGCGAGCTCCCCCTCACACACACAGGATCAGTTGCTTGGTGGGCTCTGTTGGGCAGCCTGGTTTAAACCGGGCTTCCCCACAGAGCCCCAGCAGATCCTGCGGGGGGAGTTCTTCCAGCAGGATTGGCTGCTTTACAAGCTGTTCAGTCTAAAGGGACCACCCAAAAGAGCCCCAGCTGAGCCACCTCTCAGTTGTTTTTTTGTGGCTTTGGTACTTCTTTTCCTCTCTGTATTTTTTGGTTCGGGTCTATTGGACCTGAAAAAATTCAGGATTTCCGAATAATCCCAGATCTGAGTACTTTACTGGTATTGGGATCTGGGTTTTTTGGGGGGAATCTCGAAATTTTTTCACATCCAATAGACCTGAACTGAAAAATACAGAGAGAGAGAAAATGCATATCCCTAGTCACCATGATTCTGGCAGAAGGGAGCTTCCCTCCTTGGATTTTGCCTACCATCTAACTCTTTTTTCTTCTCACCAGTGTGTTGCTCCTCTGACTGAGCATCTCTTCCCGCTGCACATTCTGTAAGAATTCAGATAAAACCAGGGAATCATGCAGCTCTGATGCCTGGCGCTGAAGAGCCTCTTGAACACAGGTCAACCTGGTAGGAAAAACATATGGATCTAAGTAGCCATCTGTCCCACAGCAGAGGAGAAAGTGTCATCTAAGACTGTTCAGTTGATTCCATAAGACAGGAAGTCTGTCCAGGACAGAGGATAAATATTCAGCCGTGAGTATACCCTTATTAAAACACCCTAATTCTCCACCTCTCTTTCCTAGCTGCCCCCATCCCATTCTTCCCAAACCACGTTCTCCCTGGAGAAATGTGGTCTCATTCTCCACTTCTGGGACTCCCGGTTTCTTAATCTGATTCCTGTGCTCCACACAGAACACTCACCCACCCCGGTTCTTAGAACTCACTTTTCTTTCACTTCTTTCCATTTTTCTCTGTTTCATTGCAGCTGCTGTGTGTTCCGAGGAGGGTCCCATCTGTATTTCCTCCTGCAGTGCTCGAAGCTTAATGCTCCATGCCCTAACCTGGTTTTCCAGACTGTCAATCTTTTGCAGGTTCTCATGAAGGTTATCAAGGCTCTTCATAGTTGTTGGCTCCGAGATCAGGTCTGTCACGGTTCTGAGCCAGCATTCAGCCTCTTCTAGCTCCGCAACCAGCCGCAGGGCCTACAAACAGTAAGGTGTAATTCAGGCAAGGCAGTCACACATGGCCTGAGTATTGTCCCTGCGACTGAAGATGCTCTGCAGGAGGAAGAGAGAGTACCCTAAGTGCAAGGGTTAAGTTTCTGTGTGGAAGAAAAAGGGAACTCTCACATCAGAACTGAGCTGATTCAGGCTTTTCTAAACTTTATACTGAATGCCACACGACAGCCTGAACTGACTGCACTGCGAACAGGAATACAGCAGGTGTCCCCAAACCTGTTGAGCCTGTGGGCACCTTTGGAATTCCGACACAGCGTGGTGGGTGCAGCCACAAAAATAGCTGCTGCAGGAGGCAGAACCAGCCATAAAATGGCTACCACAGCTTCATTTTAAAAAATGTGCGCAGACAATCAACTTTCTGGTGGGCAGAAAAGGTGTTGGTGGGCACCATGCAGGGGACCCCTGGAATACAGGTTTCCTCAGAAGACACCTCATGAGCGATGCAATACAAACCTTTAAAGATGTTAGAGCCTCTTGCTTGTGCATGAAACTACACATTAGCTGAAACACACAACTTCTGTCAAAAATGGAAGCTGCGTGTCCCCCCCCCTCTTTGTAACATCTAGTATAACTTAGTTTGTGTTGTAACAACAAAACACTGTGTGTTTTTCTTTGCGCTACTCCCCAATACTGTTTGCTTCTGGCAGAACAAAGTCTGAGTCCAGTGGCACCTTTAAGACCAACAAAGTTTTATTCAAGGTATAAGCTTTTGTGTGCGTGCACAATTGTTCTACGGCTTCAGACCCACACGGCTACCCACCTGGATCTATGTTTTTGGTAGAGTCAGGAAACACAGTGTCATGACATCACAGTATATATGACACGTTATACTACATATGTAGAAGAGAAGGGGGAAAGAAAGTCATTGCTTTCAGCAGCAACTCTCACTCACTGTATCAATCTCCCTCAGGGCCGCACCATTCTCTTGATGCCTTCTCCTCAGGTCTGCCCAGAGATCCTCCAGCTCCTCAAGGGCATCTTCCATTTGCGGACTCCATCGATGGCCAGTATGCAGCAACTGCTGTAGTTCCTAAAGAGTAGACACAGGTACCACTGAGCCATGTGAAAGTGTGATGTAGCCTTGTACTGAGCCCATCTAGCCCCGTCTACGCTAACAAGCTCTTCAGCAGAGTCCCCTCCCAGTGCCCTGTTAGCCAAGAACATGCCATGAACTAAACATTAGATCTTTTGCATGTCAGTCATGTGCTCCATGACTGAGCTACAGCTCCCACCAGCCTATTCTGCTTCTCTCTTAGAAGTCGAGCTGATTGTCACTGAGGGGGAGAGCTGCCCTTATCCAACTGAAAAGGACTTATTTATTTAGATATCTTTACTTCACTCTCCTTCCCGATAAGGACCCAAAGCAGCTTCTGATGTAGTTCTCCTCTCCTCCATTTTATCATCACAACAGCAGCACTTCAAGGTAGGTTAGGTTGAGAGAGAGAGAGATAAAGTGACTGGCCCAAGGTCTCCTAGTGAGTTTCCATGCCAGAATGGAGATTTGAACCTTGGTCTACTAGATCATAGGCTGCCACTTTAACCTCTACACTGCGCTGGCTCTTACATATCACTGACCGAAATCCACAAGAAGGTTCTCCTTATCCCATCTCATGTTCCTGACTACTCATAATAGTCCTCCTTGCATGAACGGTGCAAACTGAAAATCTCTTTAATTCTATTATCTTGGCTCAGATACCTGGGTGCTTAAAACTTAAGATTCCCTATTAACACAAGATGAAAACTAATTAACGGAATATTTTAGTTTGGACTTCTAGTTATTTTGAAGCATTCAGGATACTTAATTCAGTCAGCCAAAAGGACTGTGACATTCTTGTCCAAGAACAGAGGCAGTTTTCTGGCCCAGTAGTGTGAGGGTGTCAGACCTCTTGTCTCTGGCCAGATCTAGGTGGCTTGTCTGCCTAAGAAAGTTGCCACTTTCTCTGGCAATCCATAAACTAGAACTCTTCACGGAAATGGCCCAGTATGCAGTATATTGAGGGGACAAGGATGTATTTTGCCATGCCACCCCCCACCTCTTTCTAAACTGTTCTGGTTTCACCTAGAATATTTTCTTCCTCTGTTTTCTTACCAGAAAGTCGTTGGCCATTTTTAGAGATGCTGCTTAAAGTAGATCTCTATATAACTAGAACATGAACCTGACAATGCTCAGTTTAAGAATGCATATTCCATTTAAAATTGGTGCTTTCACTTTGTTTGGACACATCTATGAACAAAGCAAGAGATCCTGTGAGGCACTTTTAAGTGTCATGCAAGAAAAACATTGCACTATGGGCCGTACAAGGTTTCAGCCTTGTTTCCATTAAGTCTTCATTTAGATGGCCTTTCTCTATTCACTCCCACTCCTGCCTTGGATGTGTGATCAGTGCATTTCTGTCATTCACTGCACATGAAATGTTGTTTCAAGCCATTTACAGAACAAACGATGTGAGATGGCAGAAAGATGGGGAAAGGGCAGAGACACCCAATCTGATTGCCTTACAGTCTGATGGCACAGTGGCACACTTAGAGAAATATTGACTCACTCACACACTGAAAGCTTTTAGAACCACTATTCAAGCCAATTCAGCTCCCCATCAAGGTGGGCTTGACAGAATACTCTGTCATAGTCACATTCCTCCTGAAAAAAATAAGATTCTAGCAACATCAGCCTCTAACTATTGAAACTTTCTCCCTCACACGACTCCTGGCTTGTACTATTTGTACCAATTTCTGCTGCTTGATATTTTAGATTACATAACTAAGATTGCCTTCAACACACCGTCTCCTCACCACACAAGTTCCCTTTCTTTTCTTATCTGAAGGAGTTCTCAGTGTCTGGGAACTCCCACCACCACCCTGGCAACCAATCAGGAAACTGCTCATTGAGCTCATCTCAAATCCCTTCTCTTCTCCAAGCTCAGGAGATTCAAATCCATTGTCCTTCAATCTCATCTCCTTTATCTGAAGCTGTCAACATTTTCCAATTTGAGCTCAGGATCCAATTCTTGTTGAAGACTACTCTGCGTGGTTCAGTCTTGCTCCTCATGACCAATTCTATGTGCTTTTCGCCTGGATTTCTACCTGGATTTTACTTTTGGACTTTTACCTTGGTTTGCTTGGTTCCCTTGCTCTGGGCTATGGAAGCATCCTCAGGGAACTCCATTTTAGAATTGTTTTAACCTAAATTGACTTATTGTAAATTATGTACTGATTTTATGTAAGCTGCCCTGAGCCGGCCTTGGCTGGGAGGGTGGGGTAAAAATCCAATAAATAAATAAATAAAATAAATAAATGACTCTCAACTTTGTGTACCAGCTTCCTTGTTGTTGTTCAGTCACACAGTCGAGTCCGACTCTTTGCGACCCCATGGACCAGATCCCGCCAGGCCCTCCTGTCTTCCGCTGTCCTCTGAAGCTTGCTCAATTCCATGTTCGTTGCATCTATGACACTGTCTAACCATCTCATCCTTTGCCGTCCCCGTCTTCTTTGACCTTCAATCTTTCCCAGCATCAGGGTCTTCTCCAGTGAGTGCTCCCTTCTCATTGGGTTACCAAAGTATTTGAGCTTCATAACCGGCTGCTTTCCTTGTTGCTCCTTCTCCCCAATCCCCTCTCTCAATATGATGCACAATGCACGTAGGCATTTGGAATATCTGCATTTATTGTGGGAATTCTAGTATTCTAACTATATAAGAACATTTGATATATCATCCTCAATAAATCATCTCTGTTTTCCTAAATATAATTTTTTTCTTTGCAGACTTGCCCAGAGTCTCATCACTTTGTCACAGATTCCTAAAATACAGTGTGGTGGTTTAAACTCATATTTGGATATGTTTTATTTTGTTGGCTCCTAAGTCAGCATACGTTGGCTCCTAAGTCAGCAGTGCCTGCTAGGACAGGTAGAAGAAGAAGAAGAGTTGGTTTTTACACCCTGCTTTTCTCTACCCGAAGGAGTCCTGGAGTGGCTTGCAATCGCTTTTCCCTTCCTCTCCCCACAATAGGCACCTTGTGAGGTAGGTAGGGATGAAAGAGTTCCGAGAGAACTGTGACTGGCTCAAGGTCACCCATGTGGAGGAGTGGGGAATCCAACCCGGTTCTCCAGATTAGAGTCTGCCTCTGCTAACCACTACACCATGCTGGTGCTTTCCTATGTTTGACTATTTTGGTTTGTGACTAGGATCGCATCTGGAAGAGGGCTGATTCGCACATTACATGTGTCTACTCTACACATGTACAGGTACAATAGCAGCCTACCGATATCACACTATCATATGTCTGCCTATCAGGACTACAGAAAGAACTGGGAGAGTATCCCACCCAACAAGCCCTATGCCCAGCGGAGGTCATTTGCACTGCCAGAGCTCAGTTGAGGGTAAAGGGTCTGAGAGAGCCAAGCTGTAGGGCTACACATGGGGTGGGGTGGGGGTCTGCCCTTCTCACCCACCCTACTTAGTATATTTAAACAAAAGGAAATGTCACCACCATGTCTAGTTTGGCCATGTCTGGTATTGATATCAGGAGGGCCAGACAGTCTTCAACCTGAATACGCCCTGCTGAGCAACGCTAAGAAAACTGTCATTGCTACAACAGTAAAGATAACAATACGAGTCACAGTACAAGAGACTTACAGTGCAATCCTATCCCTACTCCTATCTAAACCTATTGAAATCAATGGGTTTAGACTGGAGTAGCTCTGCACAGGATTGCATTTTCAGAATTTCACCAGGGTTTGTGCAGAGGGATATTACCACGTCAGCAGTCTGGCAGAAGCCCTGAAAGTGGGCCTTTTGCTGGGGTGGGTCCTTCAGTGCGTTCGGCTGTTTGGAAAGCTTCCTCCTCCTGCAGTAGAGAGAGAATATGGGGAAGGTGGTACATTCTGGCTCATCAGTCAATGACAAGACCAAGCATGCATGTGTGAAACAACCATTAGGAATCAAACCTTGCTGAGCATTCATTTTATCGGACATCACCTCATTGGTAATGCATTTTTGAATGGAGGCAGTCCCTATGTTCGGCTATGAGCCACTGAATGGGGGGAACATGCATTTTGAATCAGACTTCAAGTAAGACAAGTTCATTCACACTTTCAGTATTGTGGATCTTCTCCGCTTTCTGCTCCCCCAGCATTTCCAACTCACCCAAAGAAAAGTTGATTCCTGGGGTTGTGTGAAACTCGTATAGAGTAATAGCTATATAGCTTGGTGGGCTACAGTGAGAAGTCCAGAAACCCATGTAGCCATTAGTATAACAGGTCCCAGAACCCCAGAAGTCAGCTGAGAGGAGGGGAAAGTGGGGAACACCACAAATGTCAGTGCCTTCTGCTGACGGATCACTGGATCCAACCCACAGCCTCATAGGCTCTATCACATAGCACCACTCTGGGTGGGGGGGTTGGTATTTTTGCATTTATTTGTGTGTGCGTGCCTGTGCCTGGAAGTCATGGTGACCTCTGGTGGTTCCTATTGGGGCACGGAGGACATTCAGAGAAGTGGCTTGATAGGCTGCCTCTGTCCTCCCGACCCTGGTATTCTTTGGAGGTCTCCCATCCAAGTACTCGCCAGAGTCAGCCCTGCTTAGCTTCCGAGATCTGATGAGATCAGGCTTGCCTGGGCTATCCGAGTCAGGGCTCACTGTTGTTTTTTCAATGGTACTCCCAGAGTGTACCCACAGGCAGGGGTTGGGTTCCCAGGCCTGACCTAATTCTAAGGAGGAGCCCCTTTGCTGGGAGTTAGGTAGACATTTTAGCCTGCATGGACCTGTTGCTAAGCATCGAAGCAGATCCCATGAAGCAACCTGGACCCTTCCACAGCCACTTCCCCCAGTATTCTTTTTTCGTTAGAACTCTTCTCCTAGGACAGTGTTGTGTGTGCCAGTACCTCTTGCTGTCATTGTGAACGGACTCTCTTCCTGCTAAAGCTGGCGCCCCTTCCAGGCCTCTTGCACGCTCTGCCACACTTCCTAGGACGTTCTTCGGCACCTAGGGCAAGACAGTCCTTGCTCAGAATGCTGCTAGTAAGGTAAGTGAGGTCTGTTGGCACGAGGCAGGACCATCTCCCCACCTTATTGAGTCAATTTCTGGGGATATGCCTTCATCCACCACTACTGCTACACAGACACTGCAAAGAGTTTATCAGTAGTCTGCTCTAGATTATATAACAACATTTTATTCTAGCATGAAATTAAAAAAAATGGGAGGGGGGAATGACACTCTGAACAACTCTGACCGCTTGGAATGCAGGGTCTTGATTGTGGGATCCTTGAGGGACGAGAGCACAATGAGAATGTGTATTTGTGTTAGGGTGATTGAAAAAGAAGACAGACTTGAGGCCAAGCGTTTGGAACCATGGCGAAAACATTTTGCACTCTTGCCAGGGGCAACCTAGTTAGGGGGTGGCATGCAGGAGGTAGGAGGGTCATCCCCTCTTCTCTCCATACGGCTTCAAGCTACAAACTTATTATGTTAGGCTGAGACCTGGACAAAAGGCCCAGGCTGGCCTGAAATCTGTTCTGGGAGGCAAGTAAAGCAACTGGGGAAACTAAATGGGCCATTGCCTAGCAACCAGCACAGCTCTTCTCTACTGCGCACAGGTGACTCAACAACAGTGCAATGACAATTGAGGCACTTACACTCCTTTACTCAATGGCTAAACTGTCCTTGCTGGCTCGGGGCTCTTTATCCTCATCCAATTGTCAGCCGCTATAGAGGCTTGTTTTGTCTGTTCCAGAAGCCTGGCCGCTGGTTCTGGCCTAACAAGACAAAGGCCCCTTCCACACAGGGACAATTCTCTGAGTAGCTCTCATTGCCACTGCAAATGCAGAGTCTTTCACAGTGGCAACACAACATCCAAACAGCAGTTTTCCCTGCATTTTTCTTCCTCAGGCCTCTGTAACTGCCATTCCGCCCCCCCATACCACTACACAGCTTTTTCAAGCTTAAAACAAAACAAACAAAAAAAGAGAATTCCTTGATCACTACAGTGCAATAATGATTTACTGCCACAATCAACTAGACCCTCTGACCTCCCTTTTATTGTTATTCTTATTTATTTTATTTGTACCCCTCCCTACCCCACAAGCAGGGTTATCTTCATCCAATTGTAAGCAGAAGGATGCAGCTATAGACGCTTGTTTAAAAGACACTCGTTAAAAGGAAATCTCTAGTTGTTTTCATTATGGAGATATAACTGGTATATTTTCTCCCTTACAGCTCTACACGAAAAGAGGTAGAGACTATTTTCAAAAACTAAAGTTGGGAATCACGGGTCAGTAGATCTTGGCAAGGAATGGTGGATGCAAGGGCTGAGGGCAGGAAAATGACGTCAGCATGGGTGGAACCTTCAAAAATCCGCATGGCATGCAAAGACGCTTTTGACTGCAATCTTTCCAAAAAGATCATATCAAACCAGGTATGGGAAATTCTGCATCAAACCAGGGAAAAACTCAGAAGATTGATAATTAGGTAACACTGTCATATTGATTTTCCCAAAAACCTGCTGCAGTTGGGATGCCAGACTGGAGCAAAGCCTTCATACAGAAACAACTGTAGGATTATCATCTCATTGCTCAACTGTAAAATATATCAGAGATCTAAATTTCTCTTAACAGTGCTTTGTGGGGGGTGCTTTGGATGGAGGCCATAGGGTCAAGAAAGAAGTTGAAAACAGTTTTTTAACCTTTTCACCCACATAATTTCTCTAATGCAAAGTCATTTCTCTTCCCACGATAAGGAAAAACTTACTTTTTCTCCCAGATTACCACATACAGAGTTACTGTTAATGGAAGAGGGAGATCCAGTCATATAACATAGCCCTGAGATTAATCAGTCAGTCTGCACCTTGGATTCACAGCATAAACTATGCCTTGCAAAGACGGAATGCGGGTTTAAATAGGCTGATTATTAATGTATGGTGCCCAAGAGATCTGATGTACAACAGAGGTCTTTGCTTACTCCCCATCCTGAGACTCTCCCTGATTTTTCTTCAGCTTCTCTCCCTGCACCGTTTGTAGCGATGGCCTTAACTTTCTCAGGACCTGGAGGATCAGTCGACTGTCTTGTCAAAGCCAATAAGGGGGGCTTTTCACTCCTAAGAGATGAGAATGAGAGGAGGTAAGTGAAAACAAAAACAAAGGAATAAAGCAGCTATGATGAGGCGTAGGAAAGAGATCTTAAATTAAGGACAGGCTCCTCTTTACTTCCCATGTAACTTTGTCCCAACTGGCAGAGAGGGAGAGGGAGAGGGAGAGGGAGAGGGAGAGAGAGAGAGGGAGAGAGAGAGATGTAACTTTGTCCCAACTGGCAGAGAGGGAGAGGGAAGGGAGAGAGAGAGAGGGAGAGAGAGGGAGAGAGAGAGAGAGAGAGAGAGAGAGAGAGAGAGAGAGAGAGAGAGAGCGCGCATATGAACAAACATGAAGCTGCCTTGTATTGCATCAAGGTCAGTGCTGCCTATTCAGGCAGGCAATGGTTCTTCAGGGTCTCAGGCAGAGGTTTTTCACATCACCTGCTTGCCTGGTCCTTTCAATTGGAGATGCCAGGGAATGAACCTGAGTCCTTCTACATGCAAAGCAGATGCTCTAACCACTGAGCCACAGCCTCTCTGCAGCCCTTTTAAAAAAAACTACAGTACTTTCAGAATACCTACAGAGGAAGATCTATGTTAATCTTTTGTATATTGTGTTCTGAAATGTAAAGATTTCCCTTGCTCGAAAGCCAGTCGAATCCGACTCTAGGGTCGCGGTGCTCATCTCCGTTACAAAGCCGAAGAGCCAGCGCTGTCCGAAGACGTTTCCGTGGTCATGTGGCCGGCATGACTAAACACCAAGGCGCACGGAACGCTGTTACCTTCCCACCGAAGTGGTACCTATTTATCTACTTGCAATTTCTTGCTTTCGAACTGTTAGGTTGGCTAGGTTCTGAAATACTGAAGCATTAACATTTTTAAAAGTTTCCACCATTTTTTCTACTGCGTTTAAATTAATTAACAGCAGGCTGACTTGCAGAAATCTAGCCACACTGGCAACACAGGTGAGGCTGTTCTGGACACTTTGCTTTTTTAATTTCTGCATCAAACCCTCCTGTTAAAGGCACAGTAAAAAAAAAGAAGACAACAACAATCATACATTTATCGTTACCATTACTAACCACAGAAGAAGTTCTTATACAAATTTTGGGTAAATGGAGTTTATATCCAGCTTAGAATCCACTTCTTGCAGACAAACAAGCATGAGGCATTCAACAGTACCTCAGCAGCTGCTGGAGCTGGGCCCAGCTCTCCTTGACATCTTGGTGCTTGAGAGAGACTCGTGCTATCAGGCTGGGATGCAGGCTAGTCAGCTGGGACACAGTGACATCTAGCATCTGGAAAGACAGAAAACGCACCCAGTGAGGAGTTCACCTCGTCATCAAGCACAGATTAAGCCGGAACAACCTCTGACCATCCAGCTAAGCATACCCAACCTACAATATGTATTGTCACATGCTTGACAATCCTCCCCTGGTTTGAGGTCCTAGGTTGCCAGCAACCAGTGGTCCGTCTAGACCAGCATCCTGTCTCATACAGTGGCCAACTAGTACCTCTAGACAGCCAACAACAGGGCATAGAGGCCAAGGCCTTCCCCTGATGTTGCCTCCTGGCACTGGGATTCAGAGGTTTATTGCCTCTGAACGTGGAAGTTCCCCTCAGTCACCATGGCTAGTAGCCATTGATAAACTTACCCTCCATGAATCTAATCCCCTTTTAAAGCTGTTTATCCCTGTGGCCATCACTACATCCTCTGGCAGCGAGTTCCACATTTTTAATCACTCTCTGTGTAAAGTAGTATTTCCTTTTGTCAATCCTGTACTGCCCATTAGTTTAATTGGATGCCCTTGAGTGCTAGTATTTTGGGAGAGGGAGAAAAATGTCTCTTTGTCAACTCTTTCCACCTCATGCATAATTTTATAAATCTCTCATGTCCCCCTTTAGTCATCTCTTTTCTAAACTGAAAGTCCCACACTCGTCAGCCTTTCCTCATAGGGAAGGTGCTCCAACCCCTTGATCCTCTTGGTGGCCTCCTCTGTACTTTTTCCAGCTCTGCAATGTCCTTTTGGAGATATACAGGGACCAGAACCATACACAGTATTTCAAATGAGGCCACACCATAGATCTATACAGATGCGTAACAATATCAGCCATTTTATTCTCAATTCCTTTCCTAATAATCCCTAACATAGAGTTTGCCTTTTTCGCTGCTGCAGCACACTGGGTTTACACTTTCATCAAGCTATCCACTTACAACCCCAAGATCCTTTTCCCTTTCAGTTTCAGCAAGTTCAGGACCCCATTAGCCTATACCTGAAGTTGGGATTTTTTTCTCCCAATGTGCATCATCTTACATTTACCACCAATGAACTTCATTTGCCACATTGTCACCCACTCACCCAATTTGTGGAGGTCCCCTTGGAGCTCTTCACAGTCAGCCTTGGTTTTCACCATCCTGAATCATTTTGTATCATCTGCAAACTTGGCCACTACACTACTCACCCCCATTTCCAGATCACTGATGAATAAATTAAATAGTGAGAACTGTCCAATGACTCCTACTCTTTGCTTCCTGTCATTTAACCAGTTTTTAATCCATAAGAGAAACCATCCTGCTAAGTTCACTCAGAAGTTTTTGGTGAGGCCTTTTGAAAGTCCATGCATACAATATCTACTGGGTCACCACTGTCTACATGCTTGTTTACTTTCTGAAAGAACTCTCGAAGGTTGGTGAGGCAGGACTTCTCTTTGCAGAAGCCATGCTGATTTTCCCTCAACAGACTCTGTCCCTCTCTGTGCCTAGGAATTCTATCTTTGATTTCAGTTTCTACTAATTTGCCTGGGACAGACATTAGGTGACTGGCCTGTAATTTCCTGGTTCCCCTCTGGATCCTTTTTTAAAAACTGGTGTCACATTTGCTGCTCTCCAGTCTTTTGTTACAGCTGCTGAATTTAGTGATAGGTTTAGTAGATCAACTATGTCACATCTGAGTTCCTTAAGAACTTTTGGGTGTATGCCATCAGGACCTGAAGACTTATCGGTTTTTAATTTCCCCAGTAGGTCTAGAATTTCATCTCTGGTCACCTCAATTTCTCAATTTCTTCAGTTCTTCAGACTCCCTTCCTGGAAATAGGGGCTGTGGCATGGGTATGTGTTCCACACTTTCCATAGTAAACACAGAAACAAAAAAGTCATTGAGCTTCTCTGCCATCTCCCCAACTTCCCTTAGCAATCCCTTGATTCCTGCGTCATCCAAAGTCCCCACTGCTTCTCTGGTTGGTTTCCTGCTCTGGATATATTTTTAAAAATGTTTATTGTTTGTCTTGATGCTTTTAGCAACCTGCTTTTTTGCATGCCTAATTATTCACTTATATTTCTTTTGCCAGAGCCTGTGGTCCGTCCTGTTCAATTCATTGGGGGAGACCTTCCACTTTTTAAAAGATGCCTCTTTACTTTTTATAGCTCCCTTGACTTGCATTGTTAACCACGCAGGCCTTCTTTTAGACTTGGCAATGCCTATCCTCACCTCTGGGATGCTTCATTTAGTGTGGTTTTAAATACTTGCAACCATCCTCTAGGGATCTGTCTTGTGTTTCCCCTTCAGCTTCCTTTTTACTATTCCCCTCACTTGTGTAAAGTTCCCTCTTTTGAAATCGAATGTTACCGTTTTGGACTTTAGGGGTAACTTTCCATGAATCTGAATGCTGAACTTGATAGCATTGTGGCCACTGTTTCCAAATGGTGTAACATCCTCTACATCTCTCACAAGGTCTTGAGACCCGCTCAGAACCAAGTCCAAGATCGTTTATTCTTTACCTGATGGGCTACCTCATAGAGCTCGTAGACTATGTTCAAGCTAGTGGGTTACAAGCCATGCATATCTGATTTAGACTCAAAACTAAAGTGTTGGTTTGGCCCTTCAGGTACCAATGAATGACAACAAAGGGTCAGAGCTCAGCAGATGCTGCCAAATGCCTATCTCCTAAGTCAAGAACACTATTGTAAACTCGGGATACAGCTTGTCTTGTAGCATAGGGCAAAAGGCAGATACCAGATACTTTAACTGGATACAACTTTGACCTCAGATCATCTCATGTAATTTACAGTCATAGGCTGAACATCTGCTGTCTAAACTTATGAATGAGAGGAGTCCAGAGAAAGACGGGCCAAAGGATCTCAAACAATGACTCCCCCCCCCCCTGCTATCTTCATGACTTTGCTGGGTGGGGGCTGACTGCTACTTACCATGACCTGGCTGGCAATGTCCCTAACATCTAGGTCCAGGCTGGGCTCAGATTCTCTTTGCTTCCCTGCTCCACAGAGACCCCTCCACTACAACGAAGGAATAGAAACTGATCACAGAAAGGCAAGGGCCACATGGCTTTGGTAGCATCTGCCACCCACACTTACAACCTATAGTAACCCTAGACAAAGCATTCTAGGATCCCAAAAAATGTATAGCTATTTTAACGACTCTTGATTTATTTGAGAAACATGGATACTCTGCATTTTTATATGTTCATGAATGTACACAAGGTGGTTACATTGTCACAAGCCAATCAACGCACAAAATTTAAACTCAAAAATCATCACTAGAAGCAGCCCCAAGGCCTTATCTTCCTCTGTCTCTAAAAGACAAACATAATTTATTTCATCTCCCACCAGAAGGAGAAAAGGGGAGAGAGCCAAATGAATGGGTCTAGGAAGGAAGTACCCAAATTTGGCACCACCACCATAAGCCTTTGTTCATAGTTGTTGTCTGCCTTACTTCAGATGGATGGGTTATCTGTATGAAGATCTCAGCATATGGAAAGGTTCATATGGGAGAAGGCAGCCATTGAGATATCTTGAGTCCTGGGTAGTTTAGGACTAAAAATCAGCACAAGCATCTTGAATTATGTTCAGAAACCAACTAGAAAACCGGGGAAGACCTTTCAGCAGCACAGTGATGAGCTCAGAGTAGCGAGGTCTGATTAACGATCTGACTGCTGCATTCTAGACTTCCAGTTTGTGTTGTTGGGACACCCCCCACACACCCATATGAAGCCCTGGCAGGACAGCAGTTTAGAAAATGGCAAACATGTTTTAATGCTGAACAATTTATGTAATTTCACTATATTCATCTTTTTAATGGATTGCTAGTGTTATCAGGCAACTTTACAAGGAATACATTAAAAAACTGAAACTATGGACTTCTACTTCATAGAAACAAGGAAAATAACAGCATAGCCAAAGATGTGCATCCATGTAACAATATATGACTATGAAAAAATTAAACAACTTTTCAAACACTCTCAAGAATTAAGAGCTATTGGAGAACATTCCACTATGTGATAAAACCCCTATACCCTTCAGTGAAAAGAACCAAGAACCTACCAGATCAGTTAGTTAACAATAATTCAATTTCACTATCTAAAATTTACAGTCTGTAATCTGCAAGCTTTGCCTGAAGCAGGGCTCTCTCTATTGGTCATATTCCACTACATCAAGAACACAATTTTCACTAAAACAAGTGAAAATACACTATATATTCTCAAAGATTTTGCCATAAATTCCTCATCCTGCATCTGATACATAGATATAGTAATAAATCCCATAAGGAAAACCTAGAGGATCCTAAAAGTACATGTAGGAGAACACAAGAGCAATATTATTCATAACAGAACAGGAGCACCTTTGGTCAAGCATTACTAAGAGAAGTTCCTGTTCAAATTTGGGGCAATAAAGCAAAGAAAAACTGTTACTTAAAACACTTTTATCACCTGGGTTCTTAGACTGAACACTCTAGTGACAAAAGTGAGCTTGGAATGTCACCCCTTTCTATAAAAGGCATTGATTCAGAACAGTGATTCACCATGATTCACAGCCTTACTTCCATGATCCTCTGAAGGGCCAAGTAGGAAAGAGCACTAAATAATGTAATGACAAGACTGCAGCTCACCTTTTGTAGAACAGACATTCCATTTACTATGCAGCCAAACACACTGCTATTCAGTAATCATGTATTAACAATTTAAACTATCTACTTATTGCAATTCAAATAGTTTTGAATATTGTGGTCCACAAATTCTTATGAAATTTACCAAGACAGTAGCAAGCAGCTGCATTTTGCATTATGTGGGTATATGGAACACATTCTCACAATTTTTACTACTTTTAAACAGGAAAAAACTCCCTGCTTCATGGATTTGCCATTATCAAATTATTAGAACCCACAAATGCTTTGAAAGATGTTTTAGATAATATGTTTACAATACAGAGGTTTTCAGTGAATACATACTTAAAAAAATATTTTATTTTGCTTTTAATTCCCATAATACAAGTTTATACAAAACATCGTAACAAAGGAAGGAATAACATTTAAACTAATTTATCAAAGATAACCTACAACGTCCATTAAAGCCTGAAGTCTTCCTATTGAATATGGTAACGGACACATGTGGGATAGAAGGAAGGAGTCTATTGTTAACAGCCGCTAGAATGTGTTATGCTAAATATTGGAAAACTGAGAAAATCCCTGATAAATTAGAAATATTTCAGAAATGGTTCGAAGTTGCAGAAATGGATAAGTTGTCGAATTTACTAAACGGGAAAGATGAAGAAAAAATTAATAAAAAATGGGGAAAATTACTTAAATATAAAATTAAACAAACGGGTTAGGGACAACGCAGGTATTATTTTGGAGGAATTATTATGGCTGTTTGCTCATCTGTATAAATATATCTGACAGTTTATGTTTTGCTGGGTGTGGGTAATGGGATAAAAACTCAATAAAAATACTTAAAAAAAAAAACAACCTACAATATGCCCAGATTTGATTGATTTCTAATATATCTATTGTCCTATCTTTATAGTCCATTTGGGGATGTTCCCACAAACTTAATTCTACATTCCGAAAATATATCATTATACAATTCATACATCTTTTGTTTTTCTTACCCCCCCCTTAACCCCAAATTAATTTTTTCAATTGCTATTAATTATTATTTATCAATTTATTTCTTTACACTTCTAATGTATAATTTTATTATGTAACTATTGCAATTAAAGGAGAGCAAGAATTACTGCTGAACACCAAAATTACTGCTGAACACCAAAAGGTTTTTAGTAAATACATACTTAAATGCTTTGATTTTTCTTGACATGAAAGATAGTTTGACATTAGTTTTGTGCATTGATCTGCTCTTTTTACATCTGAGCTTTTCAGTACTCCCCGGTCTCCCCCCTTTCACAGTACCTTGGCATATGTGCATTCATACAGAGGCATATGTGCATTTATCCTTATTCATACCTAAGATCATAGATAATTTTGGCTTCCACATGCCTCTTGGTTTTGTTGGACCCAGTATATCAGAATGCACAACTAGTATGGACGATCCAGTGTTGCTCTTCCCCAGATCAATTAACTGTAGTACATACTAATAACTCACTAAGTACCTTTGCACGGATGGCCTCTAGGAGCACATCTGCTTGCTGGAGGAAGGCAGCAGCCTCTAGAGCCAGCTGCAGCATCTCATGATGCTCCTTCAGTGTCCCTTGGAGACGCAGCCACCTGCAAGGAGAAAGGGTAGATAGCAGGAAAGCAGGCAGGCAGCCTCAGTAAATCAATCCAAAAAAGGAACACGGTCACAATATCCCAGCACACCCTAACACAAGCCACGTGCCACCCACCAGCTACAGCGCCACTCACATTTTATTGATGTGCTTGCGCCGAGCCACAATGTTCCTGCTCTCACTCTTCCCTTGCTTCTCGAGCTTGTGAGCAAGACTGTTCATCTCCTCATGCAGGACCTGGAATTGCTGCTCCTCCTGGGTCAAATGAGAAGAGCAGAAATAAAGAGTTTGAACTTACTTTCCGTTAAAGGCATGGTGAATAAAGGGAACCTCAATGACAAGAGGTGGTGAACCTCTGAAACCCGCTGCCGGGAGGCAACACCAGTGGAAGGCCTTGGCCTCTGTGTCCTTTTTGTTGCCCTGAATGGCTGCTCTGCGAAACTGTATGCTGGACTCGATGGACCACTGGTCTGATGCAGAAGGGCTCCTCTTTGGTTCTTATATTCTTACTTACTCTTACAACAGCTGTGAGTCAGGCCAGTATTGTCATCCCCAACTGCATATGCAGGGAGAGGCTGAGAGAGCAGTGGCTTGTTCGAGTTGAGATCTTATTCAGGGACTTTGCAGCTCACATTTTTAGCCTTTTCCAAGAGGATCACCCAACACCCACTTGTGTAAATATGCAGTTTCAAATCATGAGAAGAACACTTGGACATTTCTTCTGCTTTAGCACATGCACAATGACAGCCTGAGAGCAAAGGAGGGTCTCGTGACACTGGGAAGACTGAGACTGCCTCATGGGAGCATTCTGCTGCCATCACAGCTAAAACCAGGGAACGTATTTAGTATATCTCTCAAAGCGAATGTTGGGGGACTCCATACTCAGCAACATAACACCATTCAACTCTGCATGCAGGCAGCAGGTCAGTGCAGAACGTGATGGACTGTCCTGGGCTACACGTCCGTAAGCGTGAATGCCTTGCAGATCTTTCTTTCTCTTGTAGTCTGTCAAGTCAATCTGCAACCACCCCAGGCACGCAGCACTGTCTAGAAACAGCCATCAGCACACAGTACAGAGCCCTACAAGCCAGTTCTTCATCAGTCCTCACCTGTTTTAAATCAAGGATCCGCCGGGTGAGCTGGATCTTGTCTGCATTCTCATGCAGCAGAGCCGCCAGCAAAGGTTTCTCTTCCTAGAAGATACAACAAACATGGTTTAGAATGAGAGGCCCCGGAAGTTACAATAGCAAGTTCAACTGCATATATTTTGCAGCAAAAAAGGACACAAGAATTCCACTTATATAATAAGGAGTAGAAATGATATAACTCATATAAACTTTCCTTCTAAGATTGTTTTGATGATTTTTTGTTTCTTTCCAGGATGAAGGATTTCTTAAGAATTTGAATTCTTAACATATAAACTTTCTTATACTGTTTTGATGATTTTTGTTTCTTTTCAGGATTAAGGATTTCTTAAGAATTTGAATTCTTTTAAATCAGGAAACAGCACAGAAAAGCAGAAGGATGGAAGTTGCCGAGAACGCTGGACTAGAACCAATGGGTTGAAATTAAATCAAAAGAGTTTTCGGCGAATCATTAGGAAGAACTTCCTGACACAGCAGTTCCTCAGTGGGACAGGCTTCCCCGGGAGGTGGTGGGCTCTCCTTCTTTGGAGGCTTTCAAACAGAGGCTAGATGGCCATCTAACAGCAATGCTGATTGTGTGAACGTAGGCAGATCATGAGAAGGGAGGGCAGGAAGGGTTGCATCAGTGCTTGGCTCTTGTGGCCCTTTCTTACATGCTCAGGTAAATGCTGATCACCACTTTGGCGTCAGGAAGCAATTTTCTCCAGGCCAGTTTGGGCAGGGATCCTGAAGGGTTTTTTTTTGCCATCTTCTGGGCATGGAGCAGGGGTCACTAGGGGTGTGGGGGGAAGTAGTTGTGGATATCCTGCATTGTGCAAGGGGTTGGACTAGATGACCCTGGAGGTGCCTTCCAACTCTTATGATTCTATGATTCATTGACAGCCAAATTAGTGAGGGGAAAGGACAAATGGGGCAGCGGGCTCTAGAGGGCACTGAAGCTCTGCTCCCTCACTGTTGAAAGTCTCACATCACTCTCCTCTGCTTCTGGAACTTTATCCTTTCAATCTTCTCTCCATAACCATATTATCTCTGCCTCAGTTGTGAAGTGTTGCCCTCTCCGGAGTTCAAACCTAATGTATTTGTGATGCTGAGTTCTGGCCTTGTAATTTGGCCAAGAATCTTTAGATTACTGCTGTCCCATTAAATGTTTTTGTGGCTTTTCTGTTTTGGTTTGTATTGCCATTATTTTCGGCATCTGCCTACACTTTCCAACAACTACTTTTCATTGCAATCCTAAGCAAACTTACACCCTTCTAATTCCATTGATTCTATTAATTCCATTCCATTGGTTTAGAAGGGTGCAACTCTGAGGAGGATTGTCCTGTCTGTTGCAGCATCTTAGTATCAACCTTTGCCATTTCAGTTCCACTGATAGTATGTAGCTCAGTTTTTAGACTCCTGTTGAGATTTGCTTTTTATATTTTTGTATTATTTTATTTTTGGTGGAAACTCTATCAGATATTTTTATTGAGACTCTGATGTACTTTGAAAACAGAAATGAGTAAAATTTCACTGTATCTTAAAGTGCAAACATTCAGGTTCTATGAAGGATATCAGGAACTTGTTGCACAGCTATCTTGAAGATGCATGGGACACAGTCATAACGTAGGTACCTAAGGTACAAGCAGGGTTCTCTTCCTTTAAGATCTTAGGGGCAAATTCTTCCTTGCTCAGTGCTTTGACCGATAGGCCAGATTAGCCATGAGATCAATGCAAATGACATTGTCTAGTTCCATACTGGAATCTGATGTAACTGTCTGAAAGGTCTCAGGGATGCATGGGACCTTCCTGAGAGTTTTATGCAAATATTACCAAAATTCATTTTGCTTCTTTTATTCACCTAAGTAAGAATCTCCAAATCTGCCCCAACGGTTTCACTTAGTAGCAACTTATTTATTTACAGGTTTTACCTTTCTCCCCACTGGGGACCGAAACCAGCTTCCATCATTCTCCTCTCTTCCAATTTACCCTCACAACAACTGGGTGAGCTAGGTTAGGCTGAGTGTGTGACTGACCCAAAGTCACTCAGGGAGCTTCCATGGCAGAGTAGAGATTCAACCCTGGGTACGACATTCTAACCAACCTCTACACCACATTGGCTCTCCAGTCTTAAGTCTCCCAACATATAGAGGTGGAAGGATGACCCATATCCCCCTGAGAAATTTTGATACCTTACAAAATTATTTTTTCCTTTCCTCAACATTCCTGGAGCCTCTACCTTGAAATTCTGCTTTAGGTGAAATTAGGTGGCAACTCCTCTCCAAATGTTGGACTTGATTGTTATTGTTATTATTACTAACTTCTTTCATAGCCTGCCCTTCTCACTGAGTCTCTGGGCAGATTACAAACTAGGAAAAGCAGTTCGATTAGATAGCAAAGACCTCTAATAAACAATGCAGCAGAATTAGGCTTACAGAACTGGAAAAACAACACAAATGAATACTGGTTTAAGACATGACATACCATGAAAGAATCCTTCAACCTCATTGCTCAAGGGCAAATATAGTGTCATTTAAAGGAAAAGGTGAAGTACGAGCATTTTAATGTAAAATAAAATAAGTAAGTGGCCCAATAGGACAAGCAGAATGGCTGCTGATGTTGCAATGGGAAGGAAGGACTGTACTTCTTGCCTTCAGCTACATCTATAGTTAGCACCAGCACATAAGAGAACAAACATGGATCAGTACAGAATCCCAAGTGACCTCAGTATAATAAACTGCTGACCTTCAACTGAGGGTGTGCTTACAAACAACATACAGGGTACCCACCTAGTGGGGCACAAACAGTGAGCTTTTGACTCATGCATCCTCTCCCACACACGGCCTCCCACCATTGATATTATCTGTAATGAGAACTGAGGGCCACTGGCACAGTCATAGTTTGCACTGCCATGCTACATGCCCGCCCCCTGGTTTGTGAGAACTGGGGTGTGCTTGTCAAGAGGAGGCTACCCAAGTCCAAGGCTGTTGCCCTTATGGAAAACTTTGGTGCCTAAGCTATTCTTGAGTGGGAGTGGACTGAACCAGGAGTTGCTCACCCATCTACGGCATCGTTGGGAAACAAACACATTAGAGAAGTTGGATTTACAACCAGTTCATCTTTGGAACCATTCTTACCCTTTAGAACTGAGATGTTCTCCTCTTCTTGTTATAACTTATTGTGCTGTCTGGTGAGAAAGGGCTAGCTGTGGACAAAAGGTCTGTTCCCAGGGGAAAAACTAACAGAGACATGTCGCCATGGCAAAAAGTAACTTTGTCTACCAGTGAATACTATGTGCTTATCTGTCAGTTTATCTTGTCTGAATCCAGTGGTGTCCCCCTCTCTCTTTCTCTTGAACAATGGGCTTACAGTTTTAAACTTACTTTTACCAGTTTTATTGCTGCTGGGTTCAAATGTGCCATTATATTATTCCATTATATGTTATTGTTGGATTTTATATTTGCTGACTGTCATCCCAGGGATGCAACAGTTGATAGGTGGCATATAAAGTCCATCAATCAAACAAACAAACAAAGAGCAACTTCAACCCCAGAGCATTTTCCTTTCTGTTTCGGTCATGTCCCCATCCTGTGCAGCCCTGCAAAAGCCTTCTGAACTCTACATGCCCTTCCCTTTTCCAATTGCAGGATACTTCAGTTACTCATAATGAAATTATGTATTCTGGAATGGCAAGAATCTGTTAGAAGAAACTTAAGGGCACTTTAGCCAGCCGCCTGCAATAAGGGCAAGATCACCAGCCACTCATGCAAGAGTGATGAAACAACACACACACACACACACACACACACACACACACACACACACAAGTCTTCAGGGTCTCTAACAAGATTGGCCAGGAAAAAAGTTCTTCTCCAACTCCAAATATGGTTATCATTAAGACTCTGCTAAAAATCCATCCACGGAATCAGCCTGACAGAAACTTGGAGGGAGAGGAGGGGTGCAACCCTTACGATGGTCCCCAACACCCCATTAAAGAGAGAAAAAACAGGCTCATTCTTGGGAAGAAAAACTCTTTCTGGTTCCAGTGGGCCATCACTGAGTGACCAGAATAAAAATCAAATCTCTTACTTTAGCCAGGCTCAAGACACAATGGATCCCATTATCTCCAGCCTAATTCATCCTTAACACGTACCTTCCGCCTGATCCAAGCTTCCAGTTGCTCAGCTTTTTGGTTGAACTCTTGTAGGTTTCGCAGCCCACCTGCTGCTTTGCTCTGATTTGCTGCCATCTGCTTCAGCAGCTGCCACTGCTCTCGCAGAGTCTGCAGCTGTCTCCTCATTGTCTCTGCACTGGGAGTGGACTGAACCAGAAGTTGCTCACCCATCTACAGCGTTGTTGGGAAAGAAACACATTAGAGAGAAGTTGGATTTACAATCAGTCCACCTTATCGAAGCACTGACAGGGAATTGCATGTATAAAATGAGGAAAACAAAGAGATCCATCTACAGGTGGCCACATCTGACCAGCTACAGGACAGTGAAAAATCAGTTCCATACCCAGAGTTCAGTACTTTCCCCTTGGAGTGACTTGAGCCTAAGAGGTTAGAAAGGGCTTGGGGTTTGTCCAGAGACTTTGACATACCTGGTTTAGTTTGATCATTGTGTTCTCAAAGTCCTTCATATCTCTTTGCAAAGTTTGAGCCACTCGCTCCCATTCCTGAATACTGCAACCATCCTTCAGGTCCCGGAGTTTCATTTGCACCCACTTCTCAGCCTGCAACACAGAGAAAAAGGCCATTACACTGCACAGGGTATCTGCCCTTCCCATTCAAAGTGTTGGGAAGCAGAATTTTTTTCTTGCTTCCCCTCATTATCCTTATGCATTGGCGCACCTCCCAGGCTTTTCTCTGACCTTTTTCAAACCTGCTTTGCTCTGAAGTTTTAGGAAAGACTGCAGTAAAGCCTGGATAGCTACTGTGTGGGTAGGAAAATTAGGATTTTCTCACCCACGTAACAGCCATTTTTACTGAACTTGTCCCTGCGGCAACCATTTTCTCGCCACCTTGCTACCCGGGGGGGGGGGGCGCTTCTTAATGTTTTTAAAGATCAACACTAGAATATTGTTATATCAATATACCATTGTAACAATTGATGTTACAGGTACTGTGAATTCCCATCTTTGTTTAAGGAAAAAAAGTATCTAATCTCTTCCTTTGTGGCAATATAAGGGGAAATGGCATATCTCTGCAATGGAGGGGGTTAGAGCCTTGCTTTTTTTCTTAAATGAAGTTGGAGATTCACAGAATTTGATACATATATTGTTACAATACTAGAGCGCTGACCTGGATAGCCCAGGCTAGCCTGATCCCATCAGATCTTGGAAACTAAGCAGGGCTGGCCTTGATTAGTATTTGGGTGGGTGACCTCCAAGGAATACCAGGGCTGAGACTCAGAGGCAGGACAATGCAAACCACCTCTGAAATGTCTCTTGCTTTAAAAAAGAAATCTAGCTCGCCACCTACTGGTGTATAATGCTAAAAGACCTAGAATTTCTGGCTGCCAGACAATCTTAGGATCTCCTGGCTATTCTGCACACAATGCTTTACAATAATAATAATAATAATAATAATACTCTAGTGCTTTTTCTTTTTTGAATTTTTTTACAAAAGCTTGGTAGCTGGAGACCGGTAGCTTGGAAATCTGCCCTGTGGAAGCCCCACTGCTGCTGCACTACACCTGCAACTGCTCTACTAACAGGGAAACCACCAAAGATATGATAGAAATCAGTAAGACAAAGCACTCAGTGTTCCGCAGCTGTTAAGGAAGGAGATGAAACACCAGCCTAGGGTAGCTCAAGGGTAGTATCAAAATTAGGAGTGTTGTTAACACAGTGATTAGAATGTCCCTGTGTTATCCTCACAATGCTGTGTGGGAAGTTAGGCTAAGAGAGAGTGACTGGCCCAAGGACTCCCAGGAAGCTTCCATAGCAGAATGTGGATCTGAGATCAGACCCTCCTTGTCCTAGACAAACACTCTGAATACTGTGCCACATTGGCTCTCAAGTGGCGACACTATATCGAGAACAACTAGCCCTCTTTCATGGGGCTGGGGACCTTATTCTATGTTCCCTTTCCCTCAAAGGGGGGGGGGAGATATTAGATATTTCTGTGGACTGACCCTCTCCTGTGGCTTTTTATACTAGAAAGGGGCTGCCAAGGATGATCTCACACCATAACAACAGCTTCTCTCTAGCCAAAGAGCCTCATCTCCTTCCGTCTGCATGTCCCTCTTGCTCTTAACAGAGGAAAGACCTCTGGCAATGAAACACTGCTCTCCTTTTCTATTGTAGTTCTGGAAATAAAAGCAGGACATGGCCTTTTGCTTCCCTGCTCTACAGACATCTATGATGTTGAAGCCAATCTCTTCTTTTGCTGAAGAGGAAGATTTACCTGCACCACGTCACAGCTGAACTGGGCTACAAGAGAGCTCCGCTGAGAAAGGTTTGCCAGCCCTGTGTTGCTCTGGATGTAGGGCTTCAACCCCACTACCCCACCTTCCTCTGTGCTCTTGACAATCTGTTTCCAGGGAGCTGAAGCAGCACATCCTGCAATCTAGGGAAGACGGAGAAGGAATGTTAACTTGCTCAGACTGAGCAAGAAGCAGAAATGTCTTTACTGATGATCTTTAGTACCAACACTGGATCTGGCTCAGGTTACAAAATGATTCCACTGGAGCCTTAGTTTCCCAGTCCTAAACTTTTGGGTTGCTGTGAAGTTATAAACATTAGCATAGGAAAACACAGATTTATTTATTTATTTATTATTTCAGTTTGTATCCCGCCTTGTCACAGAACTGGCTCAAGGCAGCTAACAACATTAAAAACACTAAAACAATAAATACATTAAAATACAATGGAGAATAAATGCAACTGCCCAAGCAACTAAACAGTACTAATGATAATGATGATGATGGCGGCGTGCAATATACAAACAGCAGCAATAACCAGCCAATGTTTCGTGCGGGCCGAAATGTATTCCAGCGGCGCATTCGTCAGTGGCGCTTTCACCAGTGGCCCATTCATCATCATCAGCTCCTAATCAAAGACCTGGTGAAAGAGTTCTGTTTTGCAGGCCCCACGGAACTGTAAAAGGTCCCGCAGAGCCCTGATATTATCTGGGAGCTCATTCCACCAGCGTGGAGCCACCACTGAAAAGGCCCTGGCTCTAGTAGCAGCCAACTTGATGTCTCTCGGGCCAGGAAGAGTCAGGCGATTCTGTGTTCCTGACCTCAGTGCTCTCTGGGGCACATGTGGGGAAAGACAGTCCCTCAAGTAGGCAGGCCCCTGACCATATAGTGCTTTAAAGGTCAAAACCAGCACCTTGAAACGGATCCGGGAAGCTATTGGCAGCCAGTGCGATGCCTTCAGCGCAGGTTGGATATGGTCTCGTATAGAGAGACCCATCAGCAGCCCGGCCGCCGCATTTTGCACTAGCTGCAGCTTCCGGATCTGAGACAAGGGCAGCCCCATGTAGAGAGCGTTGCAGTAGTCTAATCTCGAGGTGACCATAGCATGAATCACTGTTGTTGTTTTGTTTTTTAAAGAATATAACTATTAATTTACTTTACAGGTATTTAACTTCAAGTGCTATGTAAAATACTTAACCAAAATCAATTAAGTTGTCAGACGAAACAAAGGGAGCAGTGCAATAAAATTCAATTAATTTACCAAATCAGTATATAAATTAATTAGAGCTTAAAATGTCTGTTGGAGAATCAGGGTGAAATGTGGAGTCTGGAGTCTGTAAATTGATTTACACTAACTATATTCTCATTAAAAATTCTTATTATAAATATATAATCAACAAACAAACAGTCCCACCCACACCAAAACTCTTAATTTAAAACAGTATATATAAGTGCTTGGTTTATATAACCCTTGAGTTCAAACTACTATCCCAGTATATATGCAGTTATCTTCCTGTCCAGTACTTAATACAACTAATAGCAGGGATCACAAATATCCTTTTAAGCCTGTTTCTTCAAAGCAGGTGTAATTTTCTGTCAAGCACCAGCAGCCTGAAAACCCCCTAACTCAGAATTCAGGAACAGCTTATGTATGTCAGTACCCAGGTGCGTCTGCTTTTCTTTCAGTGACGTATGCTGTAGATGTAGAAACTGTGCACTATAAATTTACAGAGTACTATAATGAATAAAACGTATGTGTTTGCAAAATAAAAATAAAAAAAGGAACAACAAAAGGAAATATCAAACCTCCAGACCATCTCTGTCGAACGCCAACCTTCCCCTTCTTCAGGGAACCGGCAGCGGTCTCTTGAAATAAGGAGCAACTGAACTCTGAAGCCCCCCCACCCCAGTTATATTACTACACCTAAAAACCAACTTGTCTAAACATCTTATAATAACTATAACACTATATAAACTTTATTTTATTGGGCCAATTAAGCCTCTTTACGGTCCTTTTACGACGAGCCCCTTGCTTGGGCTAAATCAGTACGATCCGTCGGCGTCAGTTCAGGAGGTGGTGCTGGGTAAAACGCTTCCCTGGGCCATATTTTATTGCTTTTTTCTGGGGAATCTGAGGAATGGTGTCTGCGTTTCCCTGAGCGCTTACTAATATCCATGGGCTCCAACAATTTCAAAGCATCCAAGAGCTTGTAGCCCGAGTCCTCATCATACGCCTGCAGAGTTTTCGCCTGGTAATTGACCAGGAGGTTCCCCGATGGCAGCCAATGGTAACATACATTTTCTTGTTGGAGGCGGGAAGTTGTGGGCTTCAGGGATCGTCTTATTTTTAAGGCCTCCTGAGGTAAATCTGGGAAGACTTGAACCTGACAATCCTTTTGCCGCCGCTTCCTTTAGGATTTTTTGTCTGGTCCAGTCCTCGGCAAATTTAACCAGAATGTCCCTTGGCCTGCGTCGTTTCTGGGTGTTTAATGGGCCTATTCTATATGCGGCCAAAATGGCGGGCGCAATGCCTTCTTCTAATTTGAAGAGGAATGCTAGCCATGATGATACGAAACAAATTAAATCCATATTGCCCTCCTCACCCTCCAGGATCCCCCAAAATGTAAGGTTGAGGTGCCAGATTTGTGTTTCCACTGATATCAACCTTTCTCTACAGTTTATTTCATTTTCCTTCAGTTCTTTAACCTCATGTTACAGAATGTGGCCCATCTTTAAAGTTGACTCTGTATTACCGGCCGTCTGAATCAAGGCCGTCTGTATGTTCGCTAATTGCTCCCTCACTGGTTGCATAGAGGCTTGTATC